TGAGTCATATTATCTCTTTATTTTTTTACATATTTTTTTAAAAAAGAAAGTATAAAAAAACTAAAAAATTAATTTTTAACCAACTTCTCAAAACAATTCATTTGTAGAATTGATATACATATTTGACTCTATACTTTTTCCTTCCTTTCTTTAATAGAATATTAATATAATGTTAAGATTAAAAAAAAAGATGAACTATACTAACAGTATGTATAGTTTTGAACTTATATTACTTCGATTCTTAACATTTCAATTGTGATATATTTAATCTTAAATTTTAAATCTTTTTTCAAATAAGGACAATTAAAGACTTTGTTGTTCCATTTAAAATGTAAAGTCATCATACAACTTATTTTGTATTAGTTAACTTATGTATTGTTTGAAATATAATGACATTTTTTAATGAATAATGTTAGAATTTTTTTAGTTATAAAATTCTATTGATTTGGTTTTCAGAATCTATTTTCAAAAACATTTTCTAAGAAATTAAAAATTAAATTGGTGAAAAAAATTTAAAAACACATAATTTAAAAATAATTTTATCTTTTGGGAGGGTAGAAATAATTTTTTTATATTTATTTTCTTTAAAGTAGTTTTTATTTTTTTAAAAGTCAAATATGGTGATAACTTTGACATCATTATTAAACCAATCCGCTAAATTGAAAAATTCAAAACTAAAAACATTTCATATATTAAACATATTGATTATACATTAAAAGTCTAATAACCATCAATTAAATGATAACCATAAAAAAAAAATATCTGTTAACAACAAATACAACCATCTATTACATGATAACCATTAAAAAAATATCAACAAAAACAATCACTCATTACATGATCATCATCCAAACACATACTAAAAATTAATTTAATAAAAAAATAAAAAAATAAAAATGATAAATTTATTATTTTTATATAATTTTATCTTCATTAGTAGGAATAATTTTAAAAAAATTTAAAATAAATTTTTTGACATTTATTTTCGTCAAACTAATTTATATGTTATTAAATTGATAATTTTACTTTTGAAATGGAGTAACAATTAATTGTCTTTATTTGTAATGAGATTTAAAATTAGAATTAAATGTATCACAATTAAAAAATTAAGGATTAATGATATAAATTTTAAACTATAAAAAAAGCTAGCATAATTCACTCTTAAAAAAAAATTAAAATAAATAAGAGGACAAAATGTAAAGCATTTTAATAGCTTTGCCCTAAAATATATTTACCAAATGTAGCAAGTATTTTGTTTTCCCTCTATTTTCTCGGTTACCAAACAGGATCTTTAGCCTCCAAAGACAACGTTCTGATGCAAAACTGCCGTTTTTTTCCCCCAGGCTCTCTGTTGTGCTTGTGTATTAGCTTTCAGCGATTTTCACGCAAATTTCTAGATTTTTTTTGTTTCTACATTGTCCTTCGTTTTTTATTTATGTATGAGTGGTGATTTAAAACATTAAATTTGAAGCTCTAAAAACACCACTAATGAGGTGGCAATGTAAAGAAAAAAAAAAATAAAACAAAACAAAGGCCAAACTATCACATCAATGGTGGGGTCCATATTATGCCACATCATTAGTGATGCATTAGTGGTGCTAAATTAGTGGTATGAAGCATTTTTCTTTATGTATTTCAAGACAAATATTTTATTGCAGATCTGCCAATTTTCGATTGCTAGATTTGCTTTGATTTGTTCTGAGATCGTTCTAAAATATATCAGAAATATTGGAAGTATTTTGTTTTCCCTCTATTTTCTCGGTTACCAAACAGGATCTTTAGCCTCCAAAGACAACGTTCTGATGCAAAACTGTCGTTTTTTTTTTCCCTCCAAACTCTCTGTTGTGCTTTTGTATTGGCTTTCAGCGATTTTCACACAAATTTCTAGAATTTTTTTTTGTTTCTACATTGCTTTGTTTTTTATTTTTGTATTTCAATCAAGCATCTAATTCAATTTCTGATATATTTTAGAACGATCTCAAAAACAAATCAAAGCAAATCTAGCAATCGAAAATTGGCAGATCTGCAATAAAATATTTGTCTTATGAGTTGAAAATTCAAGGAGAGAGAAAGGACCTAAACGAAACGCAGAGAAAGTCTGAGACAGTGTTGTGTTGTGTTCGTTCAATCACTTTCTTCTGCCTAGTACGTTCTTCGCCTCTCTCTTTTCTCCCCCCCCCTCTCCTCTCTCTCTCTCTCTCTCTACTTTCTCTGATTTTTGGGGCAACCGTGTGCCGCGGCGCATTTTAGCGTAAGTTCCGTGTATGTTAGTGTGGTTGATTAATATTGATATTCGAATCTCGTTTCACCGCAATATATTTTAATAAAAAATTATTATAAATTTCCGTACCATTCTCTTTAATTTTTTATATATTTTTTTTAAAATATTTATAAAAAAAGAAATTAAAAATTAATTCTCAGTGACCTGTCGGTGAATAGCCGATCTGTGAAAGGCGACAAAAAAAAAGATGCTTAAAATATTTAGGATAAGTTTTAAATACTTCTGTTTAAAATATGAATTTTTATTCTTTCGTTCTGTTTATTTTTAAAGCTAAAATAAAAGAGATTTATAGTAAGAAAATTAAATAAAATTATATTTATTTTGATAATAGTTGTTGGTATAGAGATTGTTAAATTATTTTTATATAAAATAATAATATAAATTAAAAAATATAAAAAATTAAACATTAATGTTAAAAAAAAAACCTAACATGTAAAAAATTAAAAAATAATAAAATTTTCAAAAAAAAATAAAACAAATAAAACAATAATTTTTACTTAATAAAAAATATAAAAAATTAAACATTAATGTTCAAAAAAAAAATATACCTAACATGTAAAAAATAAAAAAAAAATAGTCTGCCGAACTAATTTTTAATACCAAGTTCTACGGGCATATCCTAATCCCCTCTCCAAGGGGATTCATAATCCGGAAGAAATTACGAATCTCATCTCTATCTCTCAAAACAAACATGATATTAGTGGGTCATACCTCATTATGAATATCAATCCCCTCCCCTATAACCCAAAACAAACGGGGCCGTTGTAATTTGATAAATTATCAATACTCTTTTGTTAGAATTTTTTATTTAATAAAATTAATTAAAAAAATATAATTTCTAAATATTTTTTTATACAATAATAAAATTACTTGAATTATTAACTGTTAATTAGTATATATTGCTTAATTGACTTAATGGCTAATTTATGGAAAAGAGTTATTTGTTATGTGATTAGAATTTTTAAGGACGAAATATAATTTCTAAGACTATAGTGGTAATTAGTATTTTAAGTAAATTTTAAGAGGTGTATTTGTAATTTGTCTAAACATATAAAAGTGAATACAAATGTGATATGTTTATAGTTTTATTTTTAAATTTTTAAACGTTTTGATGAATAAAAAAATTGTTAGCAATTTTAAGTGGTTTGAAAACTGAGAAATCTCTTTAACATTTATTGAATATGATAATTATTAAATATAAAGTACATTTTTAAAAGAAAATAAGAAAAAAAAGTATGACAATGCTTGCACCAAATAACATAATAGATATATGTATATGAAGTTGATCAATGATTAGGTAAGTAGTTGATTTTATACTTATAATGCAAATAAGATCTATCTGTGGATTTAAACAAATCTGTGGATTTAAACAAATTATTAATAGGTTTTACATTAGACAATAGTTGGTTAGTGGTTTTGTCCAACTACTACCATACTTCGTCAAATGATTAGGGCTCAAACCACATTTCTACTCCAAACTAAAATTAACTCTTTATTATTGGTTTAATTGGCACCTTATTGTAGTACAATTAACACTATCAAAACTAATGCAAAGGATAAGAAAGTACTAAAATAAATAAAGATAAATATATATTTTAATAAAAAAATATGATTAATGAACTATATGAAAAATGGGTTTTATGTGAATTAATATTTCAAAAGAGATCAATGTAAATAATGTGGAACAAATTATATATTTTTTTTTATAAATGAACAAATATTACTAGAAAGTATTAGGATGGTGCAAAGAATACAAAACAACCACCCTAATTAGCAGAGAATAAAACAAACATTAGCCGATTATATCATCTAGAAAATCTAAAAAAACAAACATGTCCGGATCAACCTTCCTCTCTAACTATACATAACTACGAGAAGATGATGCTCTAACCAGGACACGCCATGATGAATATCTAGAAAGGTTCTTTTATTTTGCTCTAATCAAATAAGCCACATCAAATAAGACGGTGCCAACAACCACAATTGCCGCTGCCAACGCTCTAGCCGAACATCCCGCCAAACTCATAGCATATCCACCACTCCCTTCAATTGAACCCAAGCAATCCCAAAGAGTGAACAAATAAAACCCTATAACCGCAAAAGCCATTGAACAATGAAGAAATAAATGGTCTACCAATTCTACATCAACACAACACGTACAACATCGATTCGTTAGCACGTGCCCACACTTTATCAAATTATCAAACATGAAATTCTAGCCCAAAGCTACCGTCCACATGAAGAAAGCCACCTTAAACGGAACACTTAGCACCCAAATACTCTTTCAAGGAAAAATCGTCTAAATCTCTTACCAAAACTATATAAAATGATGAAATTGAAAATCGCCATTTTGTCCCCCACCCACTTCACACCAGAGGAGGCTAATGCAATTTATTATTATTATTATTATTATTATTATTATTGTTATTTAACAGTTATTTATATATTTACTAATTAACCACAAGGCCAAATAGTTTTTTTTTTTTATACATTTCCCACTAATTTAATATTCCTTCATAGCTGCTTTTTCCTTTTATGAGCAGACATATGCTTTTGTTTTATTATTCCCAAAGTAATATTCCTCCATTTCTAAAATTCTAATGTCAGAATTATTTTACACTTGTTGCAATGAAGTGGGTGTGTGTGTGTGTGTGTGTGTGTGTGTGGGGTTTATGATTTAAAGAAAATGCTATACAAAAGGCCAAAGAAGCTTCTTTTCTGCCTCAACAAAAACCAACACCACTTTTAAAGGGTACCCCAGAAAGAGCCACCCCTTATTTCTCTCATCCTTTTTGTGCTCTCGATCATCCCTTCCCTTCCTTCCCTTCCCTTCCCTTCCCTTCTTCTTCATTCAATAGTTTCTCAAGATTTTCTTTCTGGGTTTTTGTTTGTGGGTTGAAGTTTGATGTCTACACCACTTGAACATGACTATATAGGCTTGTCAGAGGCTTCTCCAATGGAAAGAAGCTCTGATAAGATCTCATCCTCATCTTCTTCCTCTGTTGTCTCCACTGAGGATGAGAAGAACAATATTCTCAACTTCAAAGAGACTGAGCTGAGACTTGGCTTGCCTGGTTCAAAGTCTCCTGAGAGAAAGGCTGGACTTGCAGTTGTTGGGGTTTCTCTTTTTGGGAAGGATTTGGAGGATAAGGCTAATAATGGGTATTCACTCAGCCCTATGAAGAACTTTGTTTCTGGAGCTAAAAGGGGGTTTTCTGATGCCATTGATGGTTCTGGGAAATGGGTTTTTACCGTGAATGGTGGATCTGAGGTTGATTTGGGGAAAAGTGTTTCCCCTTTGTTCTCTCCTAGGGTTGGGAAGAATGTTTTGGAGAGTAACAATACAGAGCAATCTTCCTTGCCTGGGACTAGTATGAAAGAAGTTGTTGTTGTTCCTTCTCAGAAGCCTGTTCAAGATAAGAAGGCTCAGGTTTCTCCTTCAAATCAGCATGGTAGTAGTGCTCCTGCTGCCAAGTAAGTTTCTCTCTCTTTCATTTCTTTCTTTCCAATCAAAAATTCTTGTACTCTGTTGTTATTTTCTTTTCTTGCAAAGTGAGCTGTGAATTGTGGCCTTGTCAGAGTCTATAAGGCTTGACTCACTAGAAATTGGGATGTTCTGTTTTTGGTTGCTGAAATATGTTTAAAAAAGGAAGAGGATTGGGATTTCAGTCTTGGAATTTTAATATTTTGAATCCAACTCAGCCTAATTCAACTATTTGACTAAGTTCTTAATGAGTTCTCTTATTCTTTTCAAGCCAAAACAAGAACAGCTCAATCTTAAGATTTCATTTCCTTCACTTTTTCTTAGAAACCAAAGTCAAATTTGTATATAGTTTTCTTTCAGCTATTGTAATTGTGTTCTCTACTTAAGTTTTTCTTAGCAAAATTTGAAGCTGAGCCCTTCATTAGCTGAGCCAAGACCTGCAGATTGGTGTGTTTTACCCTGATAATAACTATGCTGCTTTGTAGTATTCAATCAAAGCAAGGTACCTTAAATTTGCAGTTAAATCTACATGTATACATTCATACGTACATAGGTGTATAAACTTGTACATCTGCTTGCAATTTATGTCTCATGTGCACAAATTATTTCACTTCAAGCTTTGGTTATTTAATTAGATTTAATTTCCCACTTATTGGGTTTTCCCTTTATAAGAAATGGTGGATTGTTTTGGAGGATGTTTATTCTGCGCTCTTCTAGCCTGATCTTCTTTGTTCCCATGTTATGTTTGTGTGACAGGGCACAGGTGGTAGGTTGGCCACCAATTCGATCTTTTCGGAAGAATACGATGGCCACAAATTCTACAAAGAACAATGATGATGAGGGGAAGGTGGGATCCGGGTGCCTCTATGTTAAGGTTAGCATGGATGGTGCTCCATACCTAAGGAAGGTTGATCTGAAAACCTACTCCAACTATACTGAACTTTCATCTGCTCTGGAGAAGATGTTCAGCGGCTTTACAATTGGTAACTCTCTCTCACACACACACACAGACACACTCTGATAAATAAGTGATTGTATCTGTGCACAATAGCTGATTATATAGTTCTACTGTTGTGTCATTAGTTTTTGAGTTATGAAATCGACTTAGCTACTAGAAAGAGCTCTTGATGTTTGAGAAATATGCTTGTCAAAATGAAATCTATCAGCAATGTTGTGTTGAAGCAATAGTTTTTTTTTTTATTAGACATTCCATCCATATTTTTTAATTTGAGTTTTTTTCTATTAGGGGGAAAGAATGATATATTTTGTTTATTTTCATCTTCCTTTTTTTGGTCATTCTTTCTTGGATGTGGACAGAGTTACCACTATGAATATGTGATGAAATGTTTGGCATATTGTGCTGGATATTGATTTCAGTTTATACATGACTGTGATTCAGGTCAGTGCAGTTCCCAAGGACTTCCGGGGCGAGATGGGCTTAGTGAAAGTCACTTAAAGGATCTCCTCCACAGCTCTGAGTACGTGCTTACATATGAAGACAAGGACGGTGATTGGATGCTTGTTGGTGATGTTCCATGGGAGTAAGTTCTCTTTTCAATTACCCATTCTTGAAATCTTCTTTTTAACATCTGAGAAAACTCAGTATGTTTTTGTGAACTGTGAAGCAAAATGGAACGGAATAGTTCAAAATTTTAATTGAAAAACTCTGAATGACCTAGCACGGAAATTGAAATTGGAATGTCTCTAATTTTCCAGAAGTAGTGGTCATGTTGATCAAGAACTTGATACATTACTTGCCATTAATTCTTATCTTTGGCTGTAAATACACTTCTAGCTTCTAAATTTGTTCTTGTTTGATACCACAGGATGTTCACCGATTCATGTAGGAGAATGAGGATCATGAAAGGCTCAGAGGCAATTGGGCTAGGTATGCTCACACGCCCGTTTGGTTGTGTTTTGGTTTTCTTCGTTTTAATTTTTTGTTTTCATGTTTTCAGGAACAAAAACAAAGAATAATTTGAATACACCCATCCATAAGGAAATTATGGTTCTTTACCATATTATTTTGAATATTTACAGAGAAATTAGCTTTTGGAACCTCCAAATTTTATCTTGGCTCTTCAAACTTTTGAAAAATCTCAGTATTGCTATGTAATATTGTAGTATTTATTAAAGAAATTAGCAGTTGAGCCCTCAAAATCTACAGAATTTTACTTCAGCCGCTCTTTGCACAGTTTCTGGGTCTGCCATTGCACCCCATTGTTTCTATTTTTGTGAGAAAACAATTTTCAAAAAAGGAAAGGAACTTTGGTGGGACTTAAGAAGTGGGTTCATTTCAAAAATAAAATTTTGAAAACAGTTTCCAGAAACAGTTCACACAACCAACAGTTAAACCACTAAAACCATTTGAGTGTTTTTGAGTTTGATTGATTATCTTGGTTGCTGCAGCTCCAAGGGCCATGGAGAAGTGCAAGAACCGTAACTAAGCGCCAGTAGGACCGAGAAAGAGATCCTGGAAAACCGAAGGTTTTTATCTGCTCCGGAATCTCATATGTTTTTGTATGTTTTTAGGGTTGTAGTAATTCTTGTATCGGAAATACATCCTAGCTAGCTAGGTTATCAGGCAGAAATATAACTGGAGACAACGTTCCAGATGTTTGTTCGCTTTGTCTATTGTTCTCTCCGATCTGTATTTCTCTACTAAAAAAAATTGCTATGTAAATGGAGTGATGCTATTTTCAGATATTGATCTTTCTCCTCCAGATTATGCCTTTGAAAGATCAATGTTTTTGAAATTTTCATTATTTTTACTTTTAAAAACACAAAAAACAAAAATACAACAAAACAAGCCTGCTAATGTTTGGTTATGGTGCCACATCCCATCCAATGTGACTTTCATCAATTATAAAATGTTATCAAAAAAATAAAAAATAAAAATCATGAGATTTGAGCTTTTTAACAAAATAATTATTTTATTTTATTTATTTAAACTTTAATATTTTTATTTGTTTTTAATCTAAATTGTTTGTTTATTTTTGTTAAATAAAACTGTAACCAAAAAAAAAAAAAAAAAGTTAGTCATTAAACTCAATGAAAAAAAAATATTTTAAACATATTCCATTTATCTACATGGGGTATAATAATTAAATTATTATTTTTAACCAATTTTATTTAATAAAAATAGGCAAATAATTAAAAATAAAATAAATTTAAAAAATTAATATTTAAATTGATAAAATTAAAAACTTAGAGTTTATTTTGTTACCAGGCTTAAACTCTAAAAGTTTTTTTTTTTAATTTTTATTTTTATTTTTATGTGCTTTCACCATTAGGGCTGGACATAGGATAATCCAAATTGTACAACTCACCCAATCCGAATCGATCCGTATATAAATGGACGGTTTTACAAACACAATGTGAGCAGATACAATTTGAAATATGGCATTATTGCGGATTGTATGCAGGCTACGAGTTTTACCCGTACCTACAAAAAGCTTGCCCACACTTAGAATTTTTTTTTCCCTTTAAAACCTGGACCATTGATTTTATTCATCATATCCTAGATATTTTTGTCCAACAAACCAAACCATAATCTCTTAAAGGATTTGAATTGAATGAACTTTTACATTCATCCAAAATACAATAATAAAATAACAATAAATTGTTGTCAAACTTAATGAAGAATTACTTTTAAATAAATTTAGGATTTTAAATGATTTTACTTTAATTGTATTGTTGGATATTGAATGATTTTGATAATTTAGTTTAAGATTTTAAAAAATGTACTTTTGTTAGTTTATGATTTTATTTAAAAATTTAAGGTAGCGTTTGGTAGAGGTTTTTTGAGTTGTATTTTGAGTTTGTGTATTATGAAATTATGATTTGAGTGTAGAAAATTTGTTTGGTAAAGAGTTTTGAAAATAGTTTTGAAAAGAGTTTTGATTTGAGTGGAAAATTGTTGATGTGACATTTGAAATTTGATACAAAAAATTACAACTCATATAACTCAAAATTATTTTAAAGCATATAAAAAAATTTAAAAATTTCAGAAAATATTTTTTTCGATTATATATCAATTGCAAAAAGAAAATTGTAAAAAAAAAAAAATCACTATTTCGGTCTACCGGCCGGATGTCCCGTTTTGAAAAAAAAAATTGAAACACGCGCTCGATTTTAACAGAACAGACAGCGCATTTTGCAGAGCTGTGGAAAATTAATTCCACAGCTCCATACAAACACCATACTCAAACTGCCACGTTGAATCACATTTTGAAATCACAACCAAACACAGCCTAAGATTTTGAATGATTTGCTTGTGTTATGAATTGATTTTGTTATACTTTTAATTTTATAAATTTTAATTTATTAATTATTAATGTTGAGCATTTTAAAATATGAGGAAAAAATAATCCAAAATAAATATTTACAAAATGAAAAAAAAAATCCAAAAATAAATTTTTTTAAAAAAAACATCGAATCCACCAACTGCTCGCAAATTCACGAACAACAATGATTCATCTCACTAAAAACATCACCACTAATAGCACTAATGCATTAAAAAAAAAAATACAATTCCAAGACCAAAACATCACATCATTAATGACAGGATTCACTACCACCTAATTAGTGGGTGGGAGCACTAATTAGTGCTCCCAAGCATTTTTCATTCACGAATTCTATCTGTACAAATCATAACCCACATAGCAAGCAATTGTAAATTTAATTTTTTTCAAACTGTACATATGCGGACAAATTCAAACCACCAATCGATACGTCCAAAACTGAACTGTGACCACCACTGCTCACCATTATTCTCATGCCAGGAGTTAAAAAGGAATGTAGCTTGCTTACAAGTTACATACTACCCATTATTGGAAAAGAATTAATTTAGCAAAAATCTATGACAGCTGAATTATTATAAAAGTGAGCCATTCACGGACACATGATGGGCGATGCATATTTAGAAAAAGAAAAGGGCACCAAAAAAAAAACCAATATTTTGGCAATAAAAACCAGGGATTTTAGAAAAATCAAAACAATTTTTTGATGTTTCCTAAAAAATAGCGAGTTGTTTTCCAAAAAAAGTTCAAAAAATATTTTTGAAAATAGTTAGCCAAACAAAATTTCTGGGTGATAGAAATGAACAAGAACAAATAAATTTTAACTAATATAATAAAGATACCAATTATTGTTCCAAAGACTCTTCCTACTTTATTTATTTCAAAAAGTTCAGGAACAAATATGTACGGAATAAAAATATACTCTTCCTACTTTATTTATTTCAAAAAGTTCAAGAACAAATATGTACGGAATAGAAATATTCCCCCACCCAAGTAAAGAACGGTCACAAATAATGAAGAAAGTAGTAGATTTAAATACGAAGCAATGTAAAATAAACCATTTTTCAACAATAAAAACAGAAAATTGAGAATGAAAACACATTCAAACCTGGATAAAACCTGTCAACAAACTAAAATTCAAAACCATTTTTTTCATAAGAGGATCAGAAGTATAAATTAACAAACAACTCTAAACAACAGAAAATTTTCAGTAAACAAAAGATAAGCTATGCTAGTAGTGCCAGGTTCATGATTTTTCATAAAAGAAAATGTCAGAAATAATAATAATAATCCTCGAAGTAAAAAATAAAAATAAAAATAAAATAATAAAAAAAACCTAGTATGCATGCTTTTAAAAAAATAGAAAAAAAGAAAAGAACAGAAAACTATGAGAGTAACGCAAAAAATTTACAGATCTCAAGATTTTATGCCCAAACTTCTAATTTCACATTAACTCGAGATATATTTAAGAAATTTGTGCAGATACTTGAAGATAAACCATTTGGGTATACCCATTGAATACAGAAGTGTCGAGTCTAGTCAAGCCAAGTCTCTGGAATAGCCGAAACCTGCCATCCTCGACAATGGGAGTGGAAGCACGAGCAGGATCATATCTCGTTTGATGAGTAAGTGACGGACCAGCCACTGGTGGGAGCTCCCAATAAACATCTAGCACTGATTCCACAAACCGGCTGTTCTTAAAGTGTTGTGTATAGGTTATTGGCTTATTACTGTGGTTAAAGACATCTCGCATATACCCCCGAACACCCCACCATGCTTCGCTGGGCCCACATAGTTCTTCTATATCCACCGCCTTCTCCCAGAACTTCTTCCTTGTTGATCTAATCCTAGCTTCATCACTATCTTTAAAGCAACTATGGCCACCACCTGGAATCATAAAAATGATAACATAAATCCAAAGATTCGCAAAACCAAACAATATCTACATTAAAAACAGATGTATATTACAACCAATAAACAAACAGCAAATATATATATATATATATTTTACTAAATGCTACAAGACAAGAACCTGTGGTACCAGTATCAAAGTTATATGGACACATCTCATCACGCAAGAATTATTCAGATTTGAATTCAATGCTCATTGAATATGAACATTGAATATGGATTAGTTTTTTTCATGATCAAGACCATTCCATTCTAATGCTAATGTAGTGAACTAACTCAGTTTTGACCATATTCAGTACCAATCACAGGGTTCCAAACAATTGTTGTAGAAGTACCAATGGCTTTGAAAGAAACACCTAAAATGTTGAAAATTCTTAGAGCAGGCCACAAATTCACAATAATTATTGACCATTCAAATAATCCCAAAATTTGATTTCACACAGTAATTTTTGGATACTGTTAGAAAGGCTAAAGTAGTTACAAGTTCAATTTAGATATAGGAGAGAAAGGATCCCATAATTCTGCAGATTAGTACCTTCTGTTTTTATTGGGGTGGACCCAAAAAAAACCAAGAAGTTACAGTACTACCAAAATATGGGCAAACTATAATGATGTGAGCAAGGACGTGTGGTGAGGTTCCAATTAGCATGAAAAATTAATCCTCATGCTGAACAATTCACCAACTCACAGAAAGGGACCAGTTTGCAAGTCATTGATACAATTCTCCAGGTTATAAAAACTCACAAATTTGATTTTTAAAACTAATAAATATTATAATTTTCTTTTTAAAATAACCAAACCTTGGAAACGAAGTCTCACACAACTATGTTCACAAAATTCCCCAAATTAATTTTGTAGGAGTACCTAGTATTATAAAATTTCTATGAAGTAACTGTCACCTTGGAAGCACACAAGGCTTGCCTCTATTATCTGCATAGAATTCCCTATTGAATCTGTTAAAGTTTTGTCTTGTGTGGGTTTGGACTTCTTTGGCTGTTGGTGTGAATGTGTGTTATTCCTTCGGTTCAAAAGATTAAAATTGATGTTCCATATCAGCTATGTGTTCAACCCAAATAAATCTTAAAATTCTCCACTCTCCATAACTGATCCAAAATTTAGGCCCCTTTGATGTGTTGTGTGTGGGTTTGGCCTTGTGTTGATGAGCGTGAGTGTTATTCGTGTTTTGTTTGTTTGTTTGTTTGTGTTAAAAAAAAAAAAAAATAAAAAATAAAAAAAAAATAAAAAAAAAAATAGTTAAATCTTTCTGAGAAACAAAAGACAGATTTGTTCTCTTTCCGAAAGAGACTATGGAAGTTTATGCCATGCAGATTAGCACGGCATATAATCGTGGTACTGTACAGTGTACATAGAGAAAAACAACTATTGAGCATAAATAGCAATGTAAAGGTTCCATTTACTTGTCTTTGGTTAATAAATATAGAGGGAAAATTGTACAACATTTCTGATTGAATCAGCAGTGGACCAAAAGCACAAGTGCTTGTAGTGTAAAGAACAGTGGTACAACTGAAAATAAATAAAGAAGAAGATATTTCTATTGCTGATAAAACATAATTTTCTAAGATGACTCGTAAGGCAGGCAATGTGTATGACTCACATGTACCAATTTTTGGCATTCAAGGAAAAAATTGACTATAAAATAAGGCCTCGTTTGGGAACAAACTAATTTAGTAACTTTTTGGCTATTTAGTTAAAATATGAGCTAAAAAAAACTAGTATGTTTGAGATGACTTTTTGACTTTTTACGAAAAGATGTGCAAAAAGTAGAGAGAAAAGATAATCTTTGACTTTTTAGTATGGGTTGTTGGCTTTTTGGCTAAACCGGTCGCTTCCCATACTTGAAATGGAAAAGTAGAAACAAATGATTGGCGGTTAGATTGAATTGGTGGAGTGCAGAAAGTTCCCAAACTTGTTCGTCATAGACCCCTTAACCACGTCACAACTGTTCCTTTGCTTTGCCAATATATTACCAGAGCTTCTTTTGGAGGTTGGGATCAGTTTCTCCATAGATTCTAACAAAATATTCATGCACTTCCCCACAATAAAATTAAAAACTGTTCTCATGTTAGCATGGCAATCTATGCATTTTCAAGTGATGCACCTACTCTACAAACTCATCTATACTACATATATGACCTGCATTGATAAAAGGAAAAATGAGTGAATGCGCACCTCTTATATAAAATTGATCACATATCTGTCTGAAGGAATAATGGTCTCCAGTCCCAGTATCATAGTTGTCCTCAAAAACAAGATGCCTGAAGCCAGCTTTCAGTGCCTGCTTGAGCCTACAGATCAAAATATGATATGCAAAAGGACACATGATGTCACTCATCAGCAATAGTAGGGCATTGACACACAAGATTTAACAAATGAATGCCCAACTTAAAATTTTTAAGTTTTTTAATGCATGCAAACGGTAGTTTAAGTATCACATTAAGAGAGAAGAATTCAATTATCTACAAAGCATGAGTACCGTTTTAATTCATTCTGATGATCATCAAAGAAGACCAGAATCCGGCTTGGATCTGTAATTCTGTGTTTCTTCATCACACTTCTCCAGTTAAGACTCCCAAAATCCACAAAGTCCTTTCCAGCAAAATATGTGCAGTTCCCATCCACATACGCAGGTCCCTTATTAAGGTATTTCTCAGGATGGCGTGGTGAAAGTGACACAATGGGTTTGTCTGGCATTGCCTGACGCAAAACCCAAGTTGAATGCCCCTTAAAAACACCACTCTCAATCATCAGATCAGGCTTCAGCCATCGGGCAATGAACCAAAGCCCAAAGCTGTGGTCAAAACCCATCCCATACATGTTGTTTTTGATGGGTCGTGTTTCATATATTGGTACAAACTCTTCCAAGCCTTTGAGTAAATCCTTGGACGTCCATTCAACTGTTTTTCCATGTTTCGATCTGCCTTTTGCCAAGCATAATAATTAAATGGGCACAGACTGTAAGATCTTCATGACTTAATGCTCAAAATCAAATTTCAAAGTGATGAATCAACTAATCAAAATGAAGTATAAGATTCACTCATTCATAACCTATTAGAACTACTAAATTCAATGTCAACTAAGAAGAACAACAACAAAAATTACATTGAAATTCATTACGGCAAGCAAATTTTAAATATATATATATATATATATATATTTCTTCAAAAATAAAAGAAAAACAAACAGCCAGACAACTAGAACAAGGATTATATATGAGATTCCAGTGGGTATTCACAAAATCAGTAGGCGTAACATCTGCAACATAATTTTTCAGCATTGACCCAATTTTTCTTTCCGAGCGTTGAACATCTGCAATAAGCAAAAAACAGCAGGATTGATGGAATATGATGCAGCACAGAAAACAAACCCACATAATCAAATGAATATCATTGACGAATTTAAACCTTAAAATAGAAGAACTACTAAGTTAAGATCCCTATGATATTAACCTACACCAACCCTAAACCCTAATATATCAAAACCACAACTCAGGGAATTGATCAATTTTAGGGCCACATGGATTAAGACCTTTCAATATTATTGCACAAACCATTTATAATCCCACCAATGAAAACAAAATGTACAGAAGTTTGCTTTAAAAACACTTTTTGGATAAGTGGGTGGGTGTCCAGACCACCATGTGTGCACCTCTCGACTAATCCCCGCTAAAGTTAACGAGAGCGAGCAAACCTCCAGTGGCCCTTGGGGTGATTCAAACTCGACATCTTGAACCTTATCCTCAAATATTTACCACTTGGCCAACCCACCCCTTGTTGCTTTAAAAACAATCTAATTCACTAGTACATTAATCACGTACCAATACTACATATTTGATCAATTCATCACTTAACTAAAACACAGTACGTACATACACAATGAAAAAAAAATCACAATTTTCAGAAGTAAAGAGACAAAGCCTAATTCGAAAATGAAGTGAAACACATACACAATGACAAAAATCAAACAAAATCGAATGCATTAAACATGAGATGCAAAATCAACAACCAAAGATAAGTTAAATTAAGCAAATAATCCATCTAAAATAATTAAGATCTAACGAAACCCTAACGAAACAGAATCGAAAAAAATAAAAAAAATAAAAAATCACAGAGAGAGAGAGAGAGAGAGAGAGAGAGAGAGAGTTGGCTTACACCAGGGCACGCCGAGAGATCCGAAGTCGGAATCGGGGTCTTGGACGGCGAAGAAGCGCATGCGAGAGAGAGGATCGGAGGAGGAAGAGACGCAGACGAAATTGCGAGAGTGAATGATGAGAGAGAAGTGGAAGAGGAGGAGTAGAAAGAGGATGATGAAGGGCCAGAAGTAAGTAGTTCGGGTCAAGTAATTGGAAGCTCTCATCGCCATTGATATGTTCTTCCTTGTCTTCGATTCGTCGTTGTCGTCGTCTCCTTCGCCGCTAAATTGCGCACCCCTGCGCACAGAGTGCACTCTCTCCAGCATTTTTGGCCTCTCCTCTGTTCTGACTCCCAAAATATTACATTAAGATTGTGAATAAACAGTGTGTGCTCTTTAAAGTTTTTTTTTTTAAAAATAAAAAATAATTATAAATTCATGAGAAATTTTGAGATTTTAAAAAATTTTAAATTATTTTTCCTAACATTTGATAAAAATGCACTACATTGTGATATTAAAAAATTGTATCAATAAAACCATGTCATTTGATTGTTTAAATTGAATATAAAGGATTGAGAACAATATATATAGATTAATGATTCGGACCCCCACTGGGATCACCCCCGGACCCCTAATCCACTGTGATTGATCAAATTTTTTTTTTTTTTTTTTTTCTTTTCAATCACCAACCTCCACGTGTGTGGGGGGTGATGGGGTGGTGGGAGGAGAGCAGGGGTCTCAATCAGGTCTCATATATATACTCCCTCCGTCCCAAAATATTGGTCCCTTTTGGGGAATCCAACTTTTTTTGGTAGTACAATTATTGCATTTGAAAAAAGTTAATTTTCTAAAATTACCCTTTTGATAGTACATTTTTTGGGAATATCAATGTCATAATTGTACTTTTTATATTGTTTATTAATTTAAAAAAAGGGCAAAATAGGAAATTTATATTATTTTTGTACTTGATTTTTGAAGAGGGACTAATATTTTGGGACAATGAAAAATGGAATAAAGGACTAATATTTTGGGACGGAAGGAGTAATACTTATAACAAAAATTTTCACTTTATTCTATCTAAAAAATTGCACTTTGTATGCTATAATTATGTAAAAATTAGAGTTAATTCTATTTTTTTTTATAAATATTAACTATAAAATATAACTTTTACAAAAATAAAATGTTTAAGTAAAAAAAATATAAATGTATAACGCTCACTTGATATATTGTGTTAGGTCAAATAAGGATTATTACTCGATCAAAGGTACAACTTATTGGGCTTTTATTTGGTTTCGTTTGGGATTTGGTTATTTGACTAAAATGACTATGTTTATTTATGTTTTCAAACTAATTTTCTGCATAAAGGTTTGAGCATGATATTTGGATAGAGTTATAGAATTAATTTTGAGCATGATATTTGGATAGAGTTATAGAATTAATTTTTCACAACTCTGCAGAGAACTCTATCAAACAGAGTGCGTTTTTTAATTTTTTTTTTCAAAATTTGGCCTAATCGGTCGTCCGACCAGTTGATCGGAATAGTGAATTTTTTTTTTTTTTTTTTTTGCAATTGATATGTTAATATTTATATATTCGAAAAAAAATATTTTTTGAATTTTTTAAAAAATTTTATGTATTTTAAAATAATTTTGAGTTATATGTTTAGTTGTGAGTTGTAAGTTTGTGTATCAAATATCAAATGTTACATTAAATATTCCCCACTCAATACAAAACTATTTTCAAAACTATTTTTAAAACTCTCACCAAATAAATTTTCTACACTCAAATCATAATTTCAAACCTCACAAACTCAAAATACAACTCATACTCTCAAATAGGGGTGTGCATAATACCGCCGAAACCGCCGAAACTGCCAAAACCGCACCGAACCGTACCGTCAAGGCAAATTCGTTATTATTTGCCAATCGAATCGTCGATTTTTGGTAAGAAAAATAACAAATTCTAGTGATACTTTTACCAATCCGTCAATTTCTATTTTTCTTCCAAACCGCACCGACCTGTACCGCTATTAAATCATGTTTTATAAGATTCTAAAAATTCTTTTTTACTTAAATTTGCTTGTTGTTCTATACCTTAGAATATAGTATTACATTACTGCTCGAGGGGAATTCAAGATGTCAGTAATTCAAAATAAAGTTGGATTCCAATTCACTTTTCAATCTTTTTTTTTTTTCTGGCCATGTTGCAAACTTGCATCAGCTTACTTTTCAATATAAATATTTTTTAACAGTAAACATTTTCAACATATTGTAAATCCTGAATGATATTAATTTTATGTATTGTATTTGATCATTGTAGCTTCCACAGATGTTTGTAATGAACTGATGGCATAGTCGTTGATATTATCATGTTGTTGCTACACTTGCTGCATCATAAGAAAGCTTCGCAAGATACTTAACATTACGGTATCTCTCGTCCTTTTTTTACTCTTTGATTTAAATTTTGTAATTTGAATTATATTTTTTTATAAACTGTCAATCCGCCCAAACCGCCAAGGCAAATACGCCATTATTTGCCAACTGAATCGCCGATTTTTGATAAGGAAAATGACAAATTCTAGTGACACTTTTATCAATCCGTCACCTGTCATACGGTTTCTATTTTTCTCTCAAATCGCACTGTTCCGCACTGCACACACCCCTACTCTCAAATCATAATTACAAAACTCTACCAAACGCTGCCTTAACTTCAGAACAAGCCCAAGGTTGACTTTACTCAAATATCGCTTCGATTGGTTATAGGCCAAGGTAATTGAAGTCCAACCCAACTCGTCAGCCCTAGCCTGACAAAATATACAAAATATAGAGAAAAAAAACTAGAAGATAAAAAAAAAATGAAAATAAATAACAACTTTTTTTTTATATTTATTTTTTTTATTTTATAAATATGCCCGAATCTTTGACTTATTGAGCTTTGTCAGTGAGCTAATCTATTAGCCCATCTAGGCCAAGCCCATCAAGCGGGACTTGAGTCGCTTGGCCCAGTAAGAAAAGAAAAATAAATTTGTCAAACTTAGGTTTTGTTTGAGAATAGATTTTTTTAGTAATTTTTTGATTAATATATGATGTAAAAAGGTTAGTATGTTTGGAATGACAAATTTTTTTACGAAAAGATGTTTAAAAATAGAGAGAAATTGAAATTTTTGACTTTTGGTATAAATTGCTGTCTTTTTAATTTTTTTAGTGATTTTTTAAACTTTTAATTAAAATCACCACTTGCAAAATGAGGCTTTAGTCTGTGGATGGATTTGAGAACAATGCAAAATGTCAACTCTTACCTCATATTTGTTTCACAATTTGAGTGGTCAAATATTCTAATTGTGGGTCTTATCCACATCATATTTGATAGTGAAATAAGAGGGCGGATTGATAGTCCAAGAGACTTAGTAATCCCTCTCAGTACAAAGATTAACTTGGTTGGATTTTGAGTAGGATTAAGAAAATAGTGAGAGAATTGAGTATTTTATATATACAAAAATCTTTTTTTTACCAAGCGTATCTATTTGTTTTAATTTTTTTAATATAAAAATAATTTATTTATTTATTTTATATAAAAATATTTTAACAATTCCATCAATAATCATCTGTCATACTATCATCAAAACAAACAGACTTTCATTTAATCTCATCACTAACAATCCTCACATTAATAATCTTTTCACTAATCATCCTCTCACTAACAATTACATCCAACTTAACTTGTCAAACAAACGTGGCTTTAGAGTCAACATACTGGTGACATTAATTTAACCTTAACAAGAGGTGTAACAAATAACACTTGACCAACGAACTAGATCTCGATGTCATGAGAGAAAAATGATATCTTGTTCGAAATTTACACAAATAGATGTGTACAATCTTAATTAGTTGGTATTATGCCCATAACAACTAGTCAACGTGGATCATGTCTGTTATGGTTAGTCTGACTTAATAGTAATTTTTTTTTATTTTATGTAGAGTATTATTCAAAATTAATTAAATTAAGTAATGCTATATATAGTGACGGAGTCAAAAAATTAAATTAGAAATGGTGATTATTAATTACAATTTCTTATTTAAAAAAAATCATGATCATCATTAAGATAATAATAATTTTATGAGCTAAATTTAAGCATAAGAAATTAAAAATCATTATAAAGCGGAACAAATCAAAATTCTATAATAGTGTGTAATAACTCAGTGTGGGATGGTGATGTAAATTTGTAATTTTAGCATAAAAAATTGTGGATCAAAATTCTTAATTTTAGAAATAAAAACACATCATTTATAGCACAAATTGGTAGAAAATCTATTTAATTTTTATTTGACAAAAAATATTAAAAAAATGATATTGCTTATAAATGATGTGTTTTGAATGGAAATAATTAAATAGTAGTACCATATGGTGTTGGTTATGTGATGCTCAAAGCATAAGAAACCACAGATCGTACTAAGTAATTTGTCAACTACTTGAGTTAATTATATTCAATCCATACGATTTTTTACTACACTATTAGTTTAGACTACTACATAAACAATATCACATAGTGCTCCTAAAGTATCAAATAACTACTTATTATGAACAATACAATAAATCTTTAGTTAAAGAATATGTTAAGAAAAGAAAAAATATATATATTTTGTATATAACCACCAAACGAAAACACAAAAATTTCAAAATTAAGGGGCACATGACGCCCTGGACCTTCCACCCTGGCTACATGCATCAATTATTCTTCTGGACACGAACACTAAAGTGTAAAAAATGTTTTAAAATTTGTTTATTTTTTTTATAAAACATAAAATATGTATTACTATTATTACTTCTTAGATATTATTTGCTTTTCCAACAATAGAGCAATATCCAGATCCTTAGGCTATTTTAATAATTTTTTAGTTAAAACACAAAGTGAAAAAAAATTAATATGTTTGGAATGATATTTTGACTTTTTACGACAAAAAAAAAAAGGAAAAAGAGAAATCTTTAACTTTTTTATATAATTTTTAAATTTTTTGATTTTTTAGTGACTTTTTAACTTTTTTACTATTATCCAAATTCTCAAAACTGGCTCTGAGGCCTATTTTGAAAAGCAAGTTAAAAGCTAATTTTTTTTTATTTTTTTTTAAAAATATATAAAAAAAGTAAAATGATAATGTGATCTAAAAAAGCTAAAAAATAATTTTTAATCAGTTGACAAAATAGACCTAAGACTCACTTGAGCATGAGAAACATTTTAATGAAGATGCTGGATCGCCTGTCATCCATATTCAAAATTCATGTGGTTACATGCCCCTTTTTTATGATGTGAATTATTGGTTTTGTAACATCCTTCATGCATAAGGAAACACTACAACTAATGTTATTTTTGGCTATCAAAATATTGGTGGTCAAAAGTCTAATATTTAGTCGCCGAAATCATTTAGCGACTAAAATATTTTGTCGCCAAACTCGTCGCCTATACCCTGTCGGCGATAGTATTGGCGACTAAACTATTTTTGGTCGCTGAAAGTGAACGTTTTGGCTACTAAATTTTCGTTAGTCGGCAAAGGTTATGTTTTGGCGATTAAAATATTAATAGCCAAAAGTAAGCATTTGGCTACGAAACTTTGGGTAGTCAGGAAAGGTGATATTTTGGCGACTAAATATTTAGTCGCCAAAAGTGTTCAAATTAAATTAATTAAATTTTCAACGACTAAAACTTTTTGTCGTAGATAAGTTTTAGTCACAGCATTACTACATTTAGAGACTAAAGAATTTAGTCGCCAAAAAAATTATTTTTCATTTTATTAAACTTTTGGGTACTAACCATTTGGTAGCCGAAAGTCTTCATTATACTTTTAGCTACTAAATTTTTAGTCACCTAAAATCTTTGGGTTCTTTATGGCTACCAAATATTTAGTCACTAAAAATATTGATTTCCTTTTTGGCTACCAATTGGTTAGTCACTAACAAATTCACTTCTTCTTTTTTTTTTCACTACTAAACATTTAATTACCAAAAACTTTATTTTGTGTTTTTTTTTTTTATTATAATTAATTTCTTCACAACCTGTATTTATTTCGTGCAACCTGCACCCTGTATTTAAACAAAACAATACATATATCTATTTCTATTTCGTTTCAACAATACAAAAATTTGATCTTTTAACATCAAATTCTATACTAATCAAATACAATCCAACCCAAAATAATAATTCCATACAAACACAAAATCATACAAAAAAGATGTCCTCTGTACAAAAAATTCTACATCAAATGTCATTTACAGAATATTTTGAAGGTGTAAACATGATGGGAAAATTAAATTTATTTACTAAAACACTTGCTTAATTTAACAATGGAGTCATTGATCTAAATGCTTCTCATCCTTCAAGCTTGCTTCATATAGTTTGGTACCTTTCTTTCTGAAGACATCAACTGCAAAATAATGCAAATGTAGTAATGCAATCAGAAAATTGAGAAATGGAATGGAAAGATGCAAGAACATTTTCCAATACACCCATCTCAGCTTCAGAAAAGAAATTTACACATCATGAGCTTCACTGAATGAATATACTCAATTGAATGTTTATAGAAAAGTGTAAACAACTCAACACGTAATAATTGCCAAAGAACTATCTGAAGAAAGTCAAAGCCAAACAATATGTTGTCCTATTCAATCCCCACACACCTACAACCTTTTTTATACATTCTTCTAGAACCTTAAATCTACATGTTTTTCTTGCCCTAAACTTGCCACAGCCAAATCGAACAATAGATAGTAGCATACCAAGTTTTCCAAAAGCTAAACAATTGAATTTGCAAATTAGAGGCACAACTGATAATTATCACATGCCCATGAAGCAAAAACCTAATTGGCAAAAATTTTAAATGGGCACATAACAAAGCATATTTACACAAAACTTTAACTTGATTACTATCTTTCAACAAAATTTGGCAAAATATAACATAACCATGTAATGCATAAAAAACATGTCTATATACAAAACACAAAATAAAAACTACATAACAAGATCCATCTCTTTCCTATCTAGATTTGTAGTATCCTATATGCTCAACTTTGAAGTTCAATGATTATGCAAAGTTAATTAAAGTTAGGTGAATAGGACAAATTTTATATATATAAAAAACAACAAAATAAAAATTATGCCTTTAAAAAATAATTTGAAGTTCAATGTTTATGCCAAGTTATATAAATGACAACCACCCATAAATCACACAGGAAATAGATAAAGGAATTTAGCATGAAAAAAATCATAGAAAACTCTTCTCAAATGAGCCTTGCATAACGTAATTTTTTTTAATAGTAGTCAATGAGCCTTGCATAATAAATAATTTAAATTATTAAAATTGTCTAAAATGGACTCAGTCAAGCTCTCACAGCAGCTTGTTGTACCCATAGCCCTATCCTGCAAGATAAACTTCTCTATTACTCTCCAAAGAATTAGATGTGCTCAAGTTTTGACCAAGTAGTAGAAATGGGTCTTCAATATGCAGAATGCCCAAAATTGACTTCTTTTCATATGATTAAACTAACCAACACATTCAAATAAGTACAAGAATCTGAGTGAGTTAGAGCATAAAATTGTCTTCAATCCACCTAGTTCCAACTAAATATGAATAAAATATATGGGGATTCATCAACGAATGAGAATTTAACCACAATATATCTCATCAATAAATGCATACAAACAAACACAATGGTGAGATTATATCCCAATTTTTGATGACCATGTTCCATGGGGCTTGGCTAATTATGCAGTGGTTTGATTTGCTATTAATGTCCATCTCTCTAATGATCTTCATTAATGTCTATCTCCACTGCTGGAAATTAAGTTTTTAGCGGCGTTTAAAAAACGCCGCTATAAGTACCAAAAACGTCGCTAATTCTTTTTGTGACGTTTAGTATCAAACGCCGATGACGCGGCCGTCGCTATAAGTTTATGGCGTTTAGAAAACGTCGCTGTATTAGTATAGGCGGCGTTTTTAAAAACGCCGCCAAATATCCTGCCCTCACAATACTGTCACATCACCGTGATTTTAGCGACGTTTTTAAAACGCCTTCATAGGCTTTTTTAATTTTAAAAATTCCAACCGGTATAGTGGCATTTTAAAAACGCCGTCTTATCTTTCTTTCTTTTTTCTTTTTTTTTTTGGTTTTGAAATTGTGCTAATTTTATGTGATTGAACTAAAAGAACATTAATAATAAAACTAAATAACACTAATATGAAATAATAACACTCCCATTCAAATAACAAATATAGCATTAATTCACTTTCCCATTCAATTTAATATTGCGTTAATTTTCCCCCAAAATAATAAATATAGCATTAATTTTCCCACAAAATAACATATTCAAAAATTGAATTCACAATTCTCAATCAAAAAATTACTACCTTATATACAAAGCCACAAAATAACATTACCCTCCTCTCTCTCTCACCACTCCCCCATTTAATACAAAAAATAAGAAGTGAACCAAAACACACACTGTCAGATCCAAGGAAAAAAAGAAAAAATAAGAGAAATAAAAAACCAAAGGATTTTAACACAAAAAATCCTGAAAAAATTGCTGGTCCTTTGGCAACTAATTCAGAAGTTGTGGTTGGATCCGATGACAATTTGGTAAACAACTTCTTCACTTGCTCAACAAGGTCCTCATGCTTCACAGCTCCAGAAGCAACAATTACCTAGAATATGACTTTTGGAGAGACAGAAGAAAAAATATCATTTTCTCAAATGTCGATCCTACTAATCAATTTACAAATCACTGGTCAGAATAGAGCACTATAGACCTAAATTTTAAATGAACCTCAAACAAACAAGAAGAAAGGAACATACAGTCTGCGGGTACATAATTGATAGTTTTTACCAAGAATGAATATCAACCTATGAAGTAAAATCATAGAATGGTTTATTTCATTCAAACAAGTGTCGAGAAGGAAAGATAAAATAAAATCAGTCAATCACTGTCACTAGCATTCAATATGAGCTATTGATGGCATTCAGTTAAAAGATTTTCTTTAGCAGTCACAATATTAATTCTTCAAATCTGTAGAGAGGGCAAGGTGGTAGGTGAGACGTCTCTTTGTAAATTGCTCCACTGGTGTAGTATAAAATATGTGCTATTTTAGCAGACCATATTCTACATTGTCGGAGTGTTTTACGTTGTGTTGTGCTTCTTTAGTACTGCTACACCTAAATACTACATCAATGAAGTTGCTCTAATGTTCTTGTCATGCATCAACATGTCTTCTATGACCCTCAATCAAAGAAAAAAGGAAAAGTAACAGAAGGAACTCATGTAGTACCTTTAAGGCGTAACCACCCACGCATTAACTCATGAGCAAGAATCGCACATGTCAGTAATCTGTATAAAACGAAGATGTGTCCATAAGAGTTCATAACATTAACCAAGGTTTGCCACTTACAAGAGTAAACAACAAAAACATCATATGGAAGTGTAGAAATGTAAAGTGTCAAACAATTATAAAACAAAGAGACAGAGGGCGTGAAAAAGAGAGTGTGTGAAAAAAGCACCAAATATTACCTTGGGAGACCATACAGAACAAGAATGGCTGTGACTTCACACTTTCGAGTCAGCTTTTGATGTTGTGTTCTCATTCCTACAAGTCGGTGGTTCCCTACTCTTGGCCTTTTAAGTATCTAGATTTTTTTTTTATAATCGAAAAGAGAGAGAAAGAGAGAGAGAGAAAGAGAGAGAGAGAATCACCTATTAGGTACATAGTTTAACAAAATTTAGTAAACAAAGAAAAATTCAATCATCTGGTTATCCAACATACACTGGTAACTGTCTGCTCTTCTGACAAACATAAACCCCTTGTTTCAGGCATGTGATGGAAGCCCTGGAAAGAAAGTTATCTACATTAGAAAAATTCTATAAATCAGGAACATAAAAAATGGAGAGAATTCATTTGTTACATTTTTCTCGCCTACAATAGCTTCATTAAGGGCTTGTCTTTTGACCAGAAGCATCGGAATTTGCTGTTCTAGTTGCATGTTCATTCCTTCATAGTAGTCTCTAATGGCATGGTAGAGTGGTTGGCAATCACCAGTATCCATGATAGAAGATTCCATGCACTCTAAACATGGACTCCGTCCATCTCCTAGAGATACGTATCTTACATTCCAAGACTTCAGAAGGGGAAGAAGTGGGGAACCAACATCAACAATAAAAATAAAAATAAAAATCATCATTTTGAAAAATAAAATAAAATAAAAAACAAATGCTAGCTTAGATCAGTACCTCCAAACGCTCACAACTGCAGCATCGGGCCGTGTTATCATACTCATGTGAAGGGCAATATTTCTGGGACCAAAATGGGTGGCACCTGTACTCTATTAAACCAGCTCCATTTGTTGGGATCTGAGAATATGTGAAAGTAAGATTATAAACATCAATATGAAGATTGCTAGCAGTTATGATCGACAGCAATACACAGTTGATAGTTTCAAGATAGATGGTCTAAACTAGATCTGTGTGATATGCATATTAACAATTTTGTTGTTTGTCCCAACAAAATTTGCCTTTTGCAGGGCCAGGCGAGAAATTCAAATGGCATACCCCTCCAATTTCTGGTAAGTATTCTGTGGTGGACATTTGTCATCTGCATGATCAACATCAGTTGTTTCTATGTTTCCGCCATCTCCAACTGTTATGTAAATAGGACCACATGGGTCAAGTGTATAATTGTAGACTCTATTCAAACCAGCCCAAGGCATGAGAATATGAAAAGAAATATGTGCACTGACCTGCCATATATGTATTGGGTCAAGAAAGCTGAGTCTAACAGGACACAACTTATGAATTTCAAGATCCAACAAGACCCTTGTAACGAGCATAGGAAATGATAAGTACAAAAATGATGGCACAAAATGCCCCTACACAGATGACCACCTGGTGCCATCAAGGAAATGAGCATTTAAGTCAAAATTAAAACTCGCAGTTAACAAATATATTGCCAAATTTAACAGGTGAAATTCCAGGCATACCCATTTGAACATGTAGCCGTAATGATCATTCCATGTATATGGAATATTCATGCCAAATATTCCGGCCACCAAAGAATAGATGGATAAAGAAACAGTTCCTGAACTTAGAAAAAGCTCTAGCTGCAGCCATACAGTAAAAATATGAAAAATTTCTATTAGAATTCTTAGAAAAATCTCAGCACGGTAACAAGCATAAAAAACAAATTACACGACAAGTTTAATTTAAGCTCTAAAGAAGAAGATTATATTGTCATTTCTTTCAGCTCACATCTGGGGATACACTTGGAGTGTTATAATTGTCATCACAGTAAAGCGTGCATACTCTATAAAGCTACAATTCTGCAGTATCAGCATAAGTGTGTGTGTGTGTGTGTGTGTGTGTGTGTGTGTGTGTGAGAGAGAGAGAGAGAGAGAGAGAGAGAGAGAGAAAGCAAAATAAAAATTAACTATTAAAATAAAAATTAAAAGCTTAACTCCGAGACGACAACACATGCCTAACCAAATCTTTCCAAATATGGTTTGCTTTCCCAACACATATATTCATTAGAATTCTTTTAAAGACAAATTTTGTTGAGGACCAAAATTAAACCACCAGGTAACCAACAAACATGCACACATGCACAAACAGAGAAAAAGACTTACAGGGCAGAGATCATTTGTAATTTCGTCATAGGAAATTCGTGATTTCTGATGTATAACCTGCACATAAATATATAGCATGAATCAAACTAACAAAGACACAGATGCCCAAGGTTAACAGGGCTTGATTTACTTTATTCCTTTTATTTTTTCCTTTATTATTATTATTATTATTATTTTTTTTTTTTTGGGTGAAGATTAGCTTCAAAAAGGTAACAAAAATACCAGCAATCTATGTATATAAGCAGTGTTCTACCAAGGAGGAATGCGATCACTTATTCTTTAATGTCAAAAGACAAGCACACAAGTTACAATTCTGCAGTATCCTTGAATCATATATATTTGGTACCATTGTTGAGGGATACTTATAAAATTTATATATGTGATTATTGTTAAATAAAGAGAAAATAAGAGGTTAACCGATCTAAGAAGTTTAGAAAAGTAAAACTTAATTTCAAAGGAGAAAACTAAGAAAAAGACATTAATTTGGCTCAAACAGTATACACTAGTTCCAGAATAGTGAAACCATTAATAGTGAGCAAATTAAAAGTATCTAAGGCATACCATTAGTGAAAATCAACCACAAGAATAACTATGATCTATATCTCTTCATATGAGTGGTACCGCATTTATGCAATCATAACATCCAAGAAATTTTGCACCTCAATTGAGAACATACCAGCAGTGCTTAAAAATACCAGCAGTGGTTGTCCCCCAGTATAGTAGTGTGTCCTTGTTCCCTTGGGTTTCTGTATGCATGTTATACCAGCAGTGCTTAAAAATACCAGCAGTGGTTGCCCCATCTTTCTTAAATGCAGGCTTTAGTTTTGCCAAGTCTGATATCATTGCGTTTGGCCAAATTCCATCATCAACTGAGATTGTCACGGGTTTCTCATCTCCAGTTTTTGGATCAACAATCTTTTTAAAGAAAGTATATACATATCAGAGCACAAATTTGTACCATACACAAACTTGGAAACAGTGAATGAGCAGCTGAAATTTGGTATCACAATCTTACTGAAACTGCAATAAAAATGTTGTACCTTGGTATCCACGGGGATTATTTCCCCTTTAAATTTACCAGAGGCAGTTGCAGCAGCAGCCTTCCTATGTGACTCAACTTAACAACACAGGTCAAGGAAATCAATAACGTGAGTAGTGTGACAACATTAGAAAATAAACAAATTGACAAATCATATATTTAAAAAAATAAATAAAGAACAGATGAGGCATCAAGATTGCTGACATATATCCAAGCCATTTTCCAATAATAGATGACCCTTACCAATATCATAAAATCCAGCTTTAATAGCTGCAGCTACATTAGCAACTGCCTGAAGACCAGAAGAACACTGCCTATTCACGGTTCTAATCGGCACAGTTTCTGGACAATGGAAATAAGATATATGTCAGCATTCAGCAATGCAAGGGAATGAGACCAAAAATACTAAAGAACACGTGCAAATAAATATTACCAGGGAAACCAACATAAAATACAAGTACACTTTTCTTAATATACAGTCAAAAATGCATCTACAGTAAAAAATGCATCTTTTCATGAATTTCAGATCTACAAGGATAATAAAAGAAAGCAATATATATATATATATATATATATATATCATTACAGAAGTATGACAATAATCATCAAATCGAATCACAAAGATATGGATGGAGGGATATTCCAACCAAAAGTTGGAGGTATGGAAGCCAATAAGAAAATTGGGAAAGCTAGTGAAGTGAAGATAGATTAAAGAGAGTGTAATTTCTGTTCAATACTTCAATGTTATCTGCTAAATAATTTGTAGTAATGAAAAATTACAAGTATTTTTAAATAGTTAATAAAGATCAGCACCTTACTGATGATTCTAACAAAGTATAGCCCAGAAATGTCCAGGATACATAACCAGACAACTTGCATAGCAGTAAACATTCTCATAAGCACAACAAAAAAAAAAAAATTCACTGTGAGGACATTTTTTTGAGTTTTTTTACTGTTGGTTTCAACATGGAAATGTCCAGGATACATAACCAGACAACTTGCATAGTTGGTTTCAACATGGAAATGTCCAGGATACATAACCAGACAACTTGCATAGCAGTAAACCTTCCAGAGAACATTTCTGGAGGGAAAAGGTGCAAACAGTCCTCAAAGCAGGTGAATCCTATTCTCAGACACTCATCAGTTTTTTTACTGTTGGTTTCAACATGGAAACGATAAGACCTCTATTCTAAGGATGTTCCACAGGCATAACTACCGAAGCCCTAAGCTAAGGACCACACCAAAAAACAACGACCCGAAAACTTTTAACACTGCTTCAGGGATGACAGAACATCACAGACCCAAGGGCAGTAATGTAAGACTGCAACCAAATTTCATTTGTGTCCTTGTAAGATTGGCAACTTACATAATGGGCTAGTCATAACTGTAAAAACGCATTGATAAAATTATAATGATATTCTCTTTAATTTCATATTATAATCAACCTAGAACACATACACTTTGTTCTTCAAAATGTGTAATCTATGCGTTCCTGGAGAACAAATTCCTTCTAGGAGATTTATATCATCACTGAAGATGACAATAATACTGATAAAATATAAATGTAACTGAAACATTTTTAGAAAAATGGTTTATTTCATTGTTGGAGGTATTAATTTGCATGCTTCATTATCATTTAAAAAGTTAATAAGCCTCGATTTCTAACAGTCAAAAATTCAAAATGATTTCTGCTAAATCAAAAACTGAAAGCTAATATATCATATTCCCCCAATCTAGTTCAGTGTATAGAATAACAATATGAGAGACATAACTGTTCTTGTGATTATCTTAGTTCAGTTCCGAGGATGAATTTCGTATGGTTTTGGGCGAACTAATGTACTTCAATCTAACAAATAAGTGATATTATAGTCGAAACCGACATCATCAAGAAGAAATTGTTAGGCACACCATATTTTTGGTTATGACATACACAAATCAAGCACAATATCAATTCAGCTTGAGAGAGAGAGAGAGAGATAGAGACAGAGACAATGGAGCTCACCGATCTGAATCGCTGAGATGAAATTCGATTTCGATTTCGAGAGAGAGCTTTGAAATCGCTCTGATGAATCACCGATCTGTTTCGCTGAGACCAAGAAAAAAAGGTTCACCGATCTGTTTTGCTGAATCTCTGAATCACAGAGCTGAACTGACAAAGATAACTAGGGTTTAGACAGCACACACACACACACAGAGGGAGAGAGGGGGAGAGAGAGTAGCTCACCGATTTGAATCGATTCACCGATCTGAATCGATTTTGAAATGGCTCTGATGAATCACCGATGTAAGATCTTCGAAATGGCTGTGACTTCGATTTTGAAAGATCTTAGACAGCGCAGAGAGAACTTCGAAATGGCTCCGATGAATCACCGATGTAAGATCTTTGAAATGGCTGACTTCGATTTTGAAAGATCTTAGACAGCGCAGAGAGGGCGAGAGAGAGAGAGAAAGAGAGAGAGAGAGAGAGAGCGAGAGTGAGAGTGAGAGCGCGAGAGTTTCATTGTTGCTCAAAATAAAGGTAAACACAGGAGAGAGGGAGTGCGATGGACAAAACCCATTCCACGGCGTTTAAAAACGTCTTGTATTATTGAAACGGTGCCGTTTTGATTAGAGAAAAATACGACGTTTATTAAACGCCGTTAAATATGATTAACGGTGGCGTTTTCAAAAACGCCGTTAAATATACGCCTCCAAAACAGATATTTCCTGTAGTGCTCTCAATAAAATCACAATACTCTGTAACAGAGTTACAATGGTGTACATATATTGGTGACCATGTTCAATTGTGAAAGCAGATTGAAACAGATTCAAACACTCCATGTTCCAATTGTTTCTGATAAATTTGTCACTTGAGCATAGAGTCAAACACTTGGTGGGCAAAAAATTTAACAATCCACATATCAAACAGACAATCACCTAAACCAATGATCCAAATTCAGAGTTTATGATCTAAATTTTTAAATAATAATAGACCATAGATAATGAACCCAACAAAATAATAAAGTGTCAAAATCTTCAAATTTTCCATCAATTTTAAACCATTGATATGAGCATAACATCAAACAATACTTTCACCATACATTGAAACTCGAAAGCATATTTGGGTAATGAGGTAGATGAAACTAGCATGACTATTGTAGATAAAAAATGAAAAGCTCCACCACCTCAAATAGGTCTTGTGAGATGAGGCCCATCCCATATGCAAACGGAAAAAAAGCATTTCCATTTTCTTGTTACACAATAACAGTTTCAAGAAACTTGATCTTTTTAACATATTAGAACGCAGCTATATGTAAAATCAATATTATACCCGTTTTCATTTTCTTGTTATTTCATTTCACACTTCACATATTTTGAAGTACACACTTCACATATTTTGAAGTACACACTTCACATATTTTGAAGTACACACTTCACATATTTTGAAGTACACACTTCACATATTTTGAAGTACACACTTCACATATTTTGAAGTACACACTTCACATATTTTGAAGTACACACTTCACATATTTTGAAGTACACACTTCACATATTTTGAAGTACACAGTATAATTTAGCTAAACGAAGTGTATCCAACCGCATGTTTTCATCACCCCCATACTGACCACCTTCCCATTGTGGCCTAGCAGAAAAAGAAAAAAAAAAGAAAAAAAAAGAATAAAATATGACTCAACAGTAGTTGAACATTAAAAATTTTATACTAGGACACTATTTATCTAGTTTTCTTCTAAATTGATGAAGTTTGACTTAATGGCCCACCAAGCACTGAGTTCACAACAACATTATAATAGTGGGGAAAAAAATTCTTAGAAATATATATTATATACACATTCATTTCCTTGTGAGTATATTCACCTACTACAACCACTGCAGCGAGAGCGACAAAGAGAAAGTTAACTTCCAACAAAAAGATAATGAATATTTGCCTTTATGTCAAATCCAACTCTAAATTTTGTGCAAAACCTATGGGGGAAAAAACCCTTTTTAAATTTTCCAAGCAAACCTTTACAATCTATTTCACCGAATAGAAGCCAAATCTATACAAATATACTTATACAAGGAATCCAAGTCCCCAGCTAACATAAGAGGATCCCATTATTATGCCTACTGTATAACAGACATATTAGAAAGGTAAATTCACAAACATTGTACTAGCACTTAAACTCATAGATATAGTAAATTCACTTAAACTCATAAATATAGTAAATTCTTATTACAAAAGTAACAATTCATCACCAATAACATATATCTTTACTCTTCAATCCTCACAAGTCCAAACTGAAATATCCATAAAAAAATCTCAATCCTTTAATTCCTAAGAAGAGAACCAAATTCATATGTTTGAGTGGTCCCATCCCAGTTGAAATCGAATTCTATCTCGATGGGAACGAGGTTCAAACAAGATTTTGACTCATATTGAGTGGTCCTAATTTGTCCTATGCAAGTGCACATAATAGTAATGAGGAAAATAACAGCTATAGTTATCAAACCCAAGGCCAATCAGCAAACATGGTGATCATAGAATTTACAAAACAACGAGACATTAGTGTTCCTAAGTTCACAAAAGTAGAGCTGTGAAGAGCAAGAACTTACAGTGTGCTGGTAATATCTTCTCCGTCACAATACATATATAAAAATATGGTGTATTTATGAGGGGTTGACGGCGGCAAACAAAAAGGAAAATGTATACAAGCTGTCATGTTTTTCAGGTGAAGGGGATTAAGTGAAACAGAGTCATAGCTCAGGTCTTGGTGTAATTTACCCCAAATTTATCACCCAAAAAAAAAAATCAACATCTTTTTAATGAAAACCAAGTCAATGCTTTGAAGTCAAACATTGACATTTTCGTGGTTGGATTTTCAAGAACATGGCATATTGAAGATTTAGATGACGGATAGACTGCTGGAGTTGCAGATTTGGGTATATGACAATAGCACTAGGAAGTAGGTTCAACAAATAAGATTATTATATTCAATGTGTATATCAGAACTGTTCTACTTACCAGGGTAAAGTATCCTTGTTTTTCAACTTTCATCTTCCTGAAATGAGTAGTCCATCAATTATATTGTTTTAAAGATTAATAACTTGGGAAGTCTTACTGACTACAAAAGAAACTTACCAAGCAAGCATCAATATCCTGACATCAGTATGGTCTACTTGCATATCTGAACAAAGAGTCTCAATTCCTTTAGGCCTGTTCAAGAAAATGCAATTAAATAGAATTATTATAAAAGTACAGATGAGATTTATATATTTTATATATACAGATGACAGTTGACAGTCTCATATTTTATATATATAAACATATTTTATATATTCCTTCAGGCCTGTTTATGACAAAATTCATATATATAAACATATTTATATATATACAAACAGAATTATACAACCAAATTTATATATACACACAAACAGATTTTATATATACAAACAGATTTTAAATCATACATACTACAGATTTATATATACACACTATGTATACACACCAACACAAACAGAGAAAACACCATTCCAAACCAATCCAATAAAAATCATATTAAAACAGAATGAATAACTACTAAAAAGCAGAGTCACAGCTAAGAATTAAATCCATTTCATGTTAATTTGACCTACACATACAAAGCTATTGAGAAAATAGAAGAACCCATCTGGATTTGTGTCTTTTGAGAGATACCCAGATGGTGTTCTGGACTGAGAGAGACATTGTTTCAAACTGCTTCTGAGCCATCGTAGTTACGAAGAAAAGCATAAATTCAACAAATGGAAGAAGAAGAAACCCCATCAATTTGGGGTCGGGTATGTGTGAAGGTATGCAAATGGAAGAAGAAAATCCTAGAGGCAGAAATTAGGGGAAGAGAGACCGAAAAATAGAGAGAGGACATACTTGGGGATTGACGGTGGTGCTCGTGTGTGATAGCAGTGATGCTCCGGTAACGATGGAGACAAAAGCGAGAGAGAGAGAGAAAGACAAAGAGAGCGGGAGGAGAGCAGAGGCAGACAGAGATGTATGAGAGAGTTAGAGCGTGTGGTGTGGGAGTATACTTCTTAAACCTAGTTTATTCTTTCCCGACAAACGTTTTTAGTCGTCCATAAGAAATAAAGCCTTTTCTCCGACGAAAATTTTTAGTAGCTAATTAATTTTGCCCCCCAAAATCTGAAGTCCAATTTTTAAAATTTTTAATTATAATTGCCGACTAAAATTTGGTCGCTAAAAGTAAATTAAATACCGACTAAATATAAATTAAAAATATTAAAATATCTTAAATATTTGTCCTAATATGTTTTTTTACTGAAAAATATAATAATATATTTTAAAATATTATATTCTTATATTTTAAATTTTTTTTCATATTTTCTTATATTCTTATATTGTAAAATATAGTTAATTTTTTTTTTTGGGAGTCCTGCATGACTAACTAGGCACTAATCAATTTGATTTAGAATTTTAGAACATGCTATATGTATATTTTGTCATAGATAAAGACAGATGAAGAAATCATCTGTCAAGTGAATTTAATTAATTTATTATTCAGTTGTAACTAGTTTGTTATATTGAATTTTTAATCACAAAATATACCCAAAATAAATTTTTTAATTTTCATTGGGCTACCAAACAATTTAGTAGCCAAAAGTAGGTCTACAGTGACTAAACGTTATTTTGTCGCTGAAAATATATGTTTGGCGACCAAAATTTTGGTCGCCGAAAATCAAAAATAAATTTTTTAATTTTCATTTGGCTACCAAACAATTTAGTAGCCAAAAGTAGGTGTACAGCGACTAAACGTTATTTTGTCGTTGAAAATATATGTTTGGCGACCAAAATTTTGGCCGTCGAAGATCAAAAATAAATTTTTTAATTTTCATTCGGCTACCAAACAATTTAGTAGCTAAAGGTGCCCCTACGGCTACTAAAATTTATTTTAGTCGCCAATTGTGATATGTTTAGCTACTAAAAATTTTTTTAGTGGTCAATTGTAATATTTTTAGTTACTAAATTTATTTTAATGGCCAATAATCAACATTCCCCTACTAAAAAAAATTAGTAGCTAAAAAGTTGACTTTTGCCGACTAAAATTAATTTTGGTAGCCAATTCCCACACTTTTGGAGACTAAATTTGTTTTGGTAGCCAAAAATAGTCGCCAAAAATGTGTTTTCTTGTAGTGAAATTAGTTTGATCCAATAGTTAAATCTTATTTAATGTATCTCATTTGTATCCAAAAAATAAACGATAAATATGTTTATGAAAATAGATTATGTAACTTTTTTTTATAAATAGATCATTTTTTTTTTGTTACGACTACTAAATTGATTTAATTTTTTTGTGTAAATAATTTATATGAAGGACTTTATAAAACAAACGATGTAAATTATCAAAATAAAACTCAGTAATAATTTGCATGACATATAACAAGAATCTCTAACTAGAAGGAAGCTCATTCCTTTAATGTGGATAGATGAAGAAAAATTTTATACCTATAAAATTTGATGACATAATCGATACAAACAACCATCTCACATCAAATAACTGATAAATATAAATAACATGGTTTCGTTTGGAAAGTGGGTTGGTTTTTGACTCTTTAGTTATTAGTCTGAGACTAAAAAATCTCATTTAAATTAAACTTTTTGAATTTTTTAACTTTAAAATAAAATGATTATAATTTAAATAAGACACTTTATCTTATTAATTTTTTAATCTATTTTATTTTTTGATAACTATTTTAGCCTTATAACTCATGCCAAACGAAGGCATAATTGGTAGGTAGACCGTCACCCACCACCTCATAAAAGAAGCCATTTTAGACGCAAACAATTCTTCTATACATATCTAAAGCTCTAGTAGTGTGTGTGGGGAATAAAGTCCATGATCTTGAGTAGGGTAAGATCTTTAAAACCCCAACTTTGCACATATCTTGAGAAAACTTAAATGAGATTTGTTCCCATCCTACCCAAATAATTGTCCTCCCATTCAACCATTCCATTCGACCCCATTCCACACCCCACGAAAACAGCCAAACACAGAGAAAGAGAAAATGGCATCAATGGACTCTGCCAATGCCACTCCAAGTCCATCATTCGCAATCAGAGGCCCCCAAACCTCCCCATTCCTCCGAAGCATTTCCACCAAAGAAAACCCATCTTTCTCCTCAGAGTTCCCCTCCACTCCTCCCCGCCTAACCTCCCAACCCTCCTCTCCACGCCTCTCCTTCAACTCCACTCCTCCACCACCACCCCATTCCTCCTCCAAGCTCGACCACCTCCACACCTCCTACCGATGCGTCTCGTCGGTCCTCAAAAAGGACGGCCAGATCTTGTCCATAGCCGCATCCAACGGTGTCGTGTACACGGGATCGGAGACAAATGTGATTCGAGTATGGAAGCTTCCGGAATTCACAGAGTGTGGGGAGCTGAAGACGAAGGCGTGTAGGGTGGTGGCGATTGAAGTGTCGAATGATAAGCTGTATGCGGCGTATGGAGATTGTAAGATTAGGGTTTGGAGGAGGACTTGGGAGGGAGTTACGAAGCATGTGAGATTGGCTACTATCCCCAAGGTTGGGAGTTACGTTCGGAGCTATATCGCCGGCAAGGATAAGATGGTAATTATGGTATTTCTATTTATTTACTATTAATTTTGCTCATAGTCTTATCTTTATGGTTGGTAACAAATAACTGCTCCGTAGTCAGTGGTAGGTCCGGTATTAAGTAACATTAACTATCTGAATGGTTTTTCATTACTCTAGGATTCTTTAGACTATTACCCTCTTCCATTTTCGCCATGAATGATATTAGGAGTTATGAAAAAAATATTATGAATTTTTTTTATTTATTGATTAGTATATGGTGTTTAAGGTTCTAAATCGTAATATCAAGTAACATAATGGTATCGATCACGAAGTATCAATATCGGTAGTATCGATCAGTATGTATCGGGAATCGGGTGTCGCGACAGTAAAATTTTAAAAATTATTTTACAAGTTTTTCAGCTTTTTCTTTATCGTACTGGTCCGAACCGGTTAGTATCTGCTCGTCGCGGCTTGTGTAACGGTTACAGGCTGATGCGTATCGAGACTCGGCTGATACTCCTGTGATTTTCAATCTCAGCGGTGTACCGGCCTGTATCCGTCGCGGCACCCCATTTTTCTGAAACATGTCGGCCGATACGTAGCGTATCGGCCGGTATTTAGAACCATGTGGTATTTTATTTTAGGTGTAATCTAAAGATAGAAAATCTTTCATGATTATTTTTTCATGATTCGTAACATTACTCTTACGCCATGACTCTATTTTTAGTTGGAGAATCGTGAATAGTAAAGAAAATGTGGTGCGTAAGGTCTAGAAACAAATACAAACAAAAACAAACAATCAAATAACAACATATAAACATTTATGTAATTCAAAAAATGGTCTACGTCCATGGATAATAGAATTTCACTAAACTAATAATAAAAAAAAATTACAAACCTATTTCTTTCTTTCAACCTCACCTCACCTCACCTCACCTCACCTCACTCTCTTTTTACCACTCTTGGCTGAGACACTTGCTTGCTCTTACTCCCTCCTCACCTCACTCTCTTTTTACCACTCTTGGCTGAGACACTTGCTTGCTCTTACTCCCTCCTTACCTCCCAATTTATACATACATATATTTTAGGATAAATTGAAAATTTTACAAAGCATTTATTTGCCAACTTGCAAGCAAGTTGATAATGCAGGTTTAAGTTCTAGAATTGGAACTTGCTCTTCTAGAATCTGAGCTAACCCAAGTGAGTTAACTCAATGAGCTCACCTAATTGAGTTGACTCAGTACAACAGAAAATTGGAAGGGAACCTGAAAGAGTAAACAAATTTAGAATTTGGTTTGAAATAATGATAATAAATGTTTGAGAACACATGAAATAGGATATTATAATTAACATTAACTATAATAGAAGCTTCTCGAGAAATTTTTTTTTTTTATTTTAACAGTTATATCATGCCATCATTGATATGTGGTATTACTATCCAATCATATATCTCTTATGAAGTATGGGAACTTCAAAAAACATGTCGTACCCATACTGGGTACTTATCAACATATGGTACTTCTGTGTACGTACTGGATATACGAAACACGTATCAAAATTTTTTTTTCTAAATTTTTGGTGTACCTATTATATATACCCAATCCGTACCGTACCTCAGTTTAAACAATATTTTCTTCTATTACGGAGATAAAATTTCTTTCACAAAACTTCTTTTTTATTTTTAGTTTTATGCTTAGCATGTTTTTAAAATTAAACTATGGTTTGTAAGTTATTTAATATTTATTGGCATTTAATTTTAATTTATACATTTACTTTTGGCATTAAATGTTAATTGTAGGTTGAATCTTAACAAATTAAACCATTTAATTAATTTTTGTATTACTCTAAATTAAAAATAAATATTTTTTTACAAGCGTACCAAGCTCAAGCCGTACCCGTATCCTACTTTTTGAGATTTTACCATATCAGCGTATTCGTATCATACTACAACCAGTATTCGTACTCGTACCCATACTTCATAATATATTTCCCACTATGCAAATGGATTGAATCGGATAAGTAGTCGTAATTTCATGGTAAGATTCACTCTCCTATTTGTTATTCTATTATTAAATGATAATACTACGTCATTTTATTTAAGTTTTATTCATCCATCACTTATTCAACAGATACAAAATAATTATGTGAGTTTATCATTATTTCAAATTTTTAAAAAAACTCGTTACACTCATTAAGGTAGTTGTTCCACGATGTAGTATGTAGTAGTGATCCTCTTTCAATTGGTCAAAATTCATAGGTTGGTCAAAATTTACTTTTGTCCTTTGGTTTTGAATCATTTGCACTTCCAACCATGATACAGTCTCCCACTATCCTTCATCCCCTGCCTCCACACACATGAAAATTAGTGATGGGAGAGAGAGAATATATATATATATATAGTTTGGAAAATGCTATGCACCTCAAATAAATTATCAAATTTTTTATCAAATTTCTCACATGGGTGTGAAATCTACACAAATCAAATGTATGTAGATCCCACACCCATATAAAAAATTTAGTAAAAAATTTAATAATTTATTTAAAATTCCTAACATAACTCATATAATTTTGGCCAAACACAATCTGGATCAAGGTTCCTGGCCCAGGTGTACTGATGAAGTAGGCCTATTACAAACACGACAAGGGGTATCACATTCTAACAACATATTGTCATACCATAAAAAGATGAGAAATTGTACCCTGGAGCTTCGTAATTTTTAGTTATGATTTATTGTAATATTAATTATAACATTATAATAGGTATGATCAAAAACAATTTTGATTATATCTTATGTGGTGTTTGGTTATAAAAATAACAAAACAAATTATTAGGGATATAATCGGTTCGGGACGGTCGGTGTTTAGGTAAAATTTTGTACCGAACCAATAATGTCGATTTTATTATATTGGAAAGGTGTTTAGGTAAAATTTTGTACCGAACCAATAATGTCGATTTTATTATATTGGAAACCAATATAGACCAAATTTTTTTTTCAAACTACATGAAACCGCACCGATTCAAACGGTTCGGTTCAATGCGGTTTAATCGGTTTAAGTACTTTTAAAATTAAATCATTTCTTAAATTTGTAGTATATTTATTACTGTGAAAGAGCTCGTGGAAGTGTATAGGCGAAGAAAACGTTAAAGCTTGTATATATGTATGAATATGGGTAGGCATGGTGAGTTGTCTTTCTATTCTCTTGGCAACAGCCACTCTTTTTGCATTACAAAAAAAAATAGGAAAATGTCTCGTAGTTCAAATTTTATGGCTCAAAAGTGGCTCAAAAGGCCAAAACATGCCATTTTTATGTTGTTCTGTACTCAAAACGACATCGTTTTGGCCATTTGAGCCACTTTTGAGCCACAAAATTTGAGCTACGTAGCATTGTCGATTTAATATATATTATATGTAAATATATTCGGTTGGTTTCGGTTCAAATCGGTGTATAGTATATCAAAACCGGCACCGAACCGAAAACTGAAAAAAATCAATTTCCAAAACCGAACAGACCGATTCATACTAAAAAACCGACCAAATATGACCGGTTTGATCCGGTTCGATCAGTTTAGTCAATTTTTTTGATTTTTCTTACATCCTTACATGTTATCATAAATATAAGTATACACATAAATAATATCTATCTAATTAATTAAATATATTATAATAAAAATTAAATTACAAATAATAGAATTTTATTCAGCATCTTTTAGAGAATTATGTGATATTTTCATTTTAAGTTAAAAATCATCATTTTTTTTGTTATATTTGAAAAATTTTATTAGCTCATCAGAATAGTTAATTTTTTTTAAATAATATTATGATGAGAAAAAGTTTTAAACCAATTTTCCCAAACGGAGCTTCAAACATTTTTGCTTGGAATCATGCTTTCAAAGAAGTAAGAGATTAATGATCTAATCATATCAAATTTCATTTATTGCTTGCTATGGTTACTGGGAATTGTGGTCCCTCAGGTGCTAAAGGCTAAAGGCATAACAGTAATTGTTATGCCTTAAATTAAGATGTATTATAAATTTATTTTTATGATTTAAACTGTTCATTTTGTAAGATTTGTTAAGTACTTCATATTTATCAAAAATCATATTAGTCGGATATCAATAATTATATGATCGAGTTGCATATTTTTTATGTTATTTCTCAAAAGAAAAACTTATTGTTTATTTTTTTGGTTGTCGATCATATAGTTATTGATATTCGATTAATATAATTTTTGATAGGCATAAAATACTCAACAAACTTTACAAAATGATAATTCAAATCATAAAAAATAAATTTATAATATATCCCAAATTGAGGTGCAACAGTCACTGTTGTGCCTTTAACACAACAGTGACCCATTTCTTGGTTTTACTGAGGTTGAGAATTATTAGTACTACTTTAGGTAACTTTTGCAAGGAAGCTATGAAAAAAAAAAAAAAGAAAAAGAAAAAAAAAAATCGAAATTAATTGTAAAGTTGTGAGGATGTTTGGAGTAGAGCATTTGTACCATCAGTACCTTTAGTTGCAGAAGAATTAATCACGAAATTAAATATACTTTTTTTTTTTATAAGAGTGTAATACTCAAAAATATATATTTCCCCTAAAATAAGGATAAATTACCATATCATTTTTACTTATTTTCTAATTAATTTTTCTATTTATATGACACGACTCTTTATAAAACACCCGGCACAAAATGAAAAGAGAAAGTATTTTATTATAATATTCAAGAATGCCATGACTACATTGTGCAAGCATCAAATATTATTCAACAAAAGAAATTAAAATAAAAATTTTATAAACACAAAATACGTCATTCATGAGAAATTGAGAGAGATTGAGAGAGCAAATAGTAGCTCTATGTTTTTGATGTATATTGCAACCAAATGGAACCTCCATTATATAAGAGATGTTTTACAAGACAAAATGATGAACAAAGGAAATATACAAATGAAAGGCCACCGAAAGATGGCTGAAAGCAAAAGAAAAAGAAGGTGTCTATCTGTGCTAGGCTAGCAACAACTCAGCTATAGATCTATACAGATTAATATAGTATTTATTAACATATTATAGGTATAGTATTAACATTATGCACATAAATTTCTAGTAAAAACAATGTGGAGTTAAAAGTGATTGCCAAGGTCATCTAATTTGCTTTTATGGAATCTTTACACAAGAAGAAAAAAAAAAATACAGATTCTTGGTGGTCATTTTGATATGTCTCAGCACAAGCATTGTGTAATGCGTAGGTAAACAAAATTTAATTGAGAACCAACATGGAAACTGAAAGATAAAACAATCTTGAATTGGCCCACCCTAACAAGAGAAATCAGATTAGATAGATAAAAGAAACATACGCGAAAGGTTTACCAGACTTGAAGCTAGCTATAACCTAAATACTTCTACATCATTTCCATTTCAAAATTCTACAGACGTACAAGTCCAACTGCTGTTGTATATACAAAGTTAAAAGACTGCATAGGAAGAAAATATATATATATATATATATATAAGCATAAACAAAATGAACGTCCTATCTGTCTTATCCCGGTTGCCTGATTAGAACATTAACTATGGGCCAATTTCTCTGATCAACTTCAAAACTCAACGCATCTCCATAAACCCACAGAAACAATGGACAACACGGCCAAAAAGTACCCCAAGCATATGCATAGATGAGAAAAAGAAGAACAATGCAGGAGGAGCTTTCAAAGACGCAGAATATAATGATCCTGTTTGGAAAATCTAATTTTTTTTTTATAGTATAATTATTATATTTTAAAATATTAATTTTTCAAAATTAACCTTTAATAGTATATTTTTTTTAGGAATATCAATTGTCATGATTGTGCTTTTTGTGTTATTAATAAATTTTAAAAAAAAAGGTAAAATAGTAAATTTATATTATTTTATTCTTTAGTTTTTTTAAAAAATTAATATTTTAAAACAAATAAAAAATAAAATAAGAATATTTTGAAACCGATGGAGTAATTTGGTTCATGGGGATCAGCAAGACGTGGTGCTCTACCCAATTCTCATTAGCCTGCTATTTGTGAGAGTTATTGGTTAGCCGGGGCAGCATAACCTGGTACCCCACGTATATTGTGATCAGTGAAAAGACTGTTATTTATAGCTTTATATTGGGTAGTTAGGTCATGTTTTATTCATAAGATTAATAGTGAAGTATTAATAATTCTATTAAATTAGTATGGTATTCACTATCCAATTAGATTAATATCTATTGGATTAATAATCTCACCCCTACCTCATTACTAATAATCTTACAAATTTATTAGATTAATTATCCATTAGATTAATAATCCTAAACCAAAATATTAAAACAAATATAGAATAATTGAGCCTACAAATTAATAATCTCAATTCCATACTCTAATCCATCCAATTAAATATACCCTTAAAAAATAAGAATGTTATTCATAATTTTATATTAGATACTTAAAAAATAAGAAGCGGACATAGAGATCTGTCATCAGCCTGAGACGTAGCCACGTGATTTGTTAGGGTCATTTCTAGACGTTCTTGTCTATTTGTCAGACTATTCGTCATTCAACAATCAATAGTTTGTTAGAGCATCTCCAACGGTGTACCAAATGTTTCGAGCAAGGATCCTTTAGAGTGATTTTTTTCTAAATTTTTTTAAAGTGCTACATTGTGTGGTTGAGATTTACTGGCAAGTCACATCAGAAAAATTGATGTGACTTGCCAGTAAATCTCAACCACACAATGTAGTACTCTAGGAAACTTTAGGAAAATTTTACTCTAGAGGATCCTTGGTGAAATGTTTCACCAAATCTGAGTCAAAAATGGGTCATTTATTTAATTTGATACTTCGTGCTCCAACGGTTCAACATCAAATCCGTTTCATCAAATTTGCACTGGGCAACCGGTTGGTTGACCGGCCGGTCAACCGGTAACGGCAAATTTTTTTTTTTTTTTTTACCGGTTTGAAGACGATCCTGATTCTATATTGGGTAGTTAGGTCATGTTTTATTTACAAGATTAATAGTGAAGTATTAATAATTTTATTAAATTAGTGTGGTATTCACTATCTAATTAGATTAATATCTATTGGATTAATAATCTCACCCCTACCTCATTATTAATAATCTTACAAATTTATTAGATTAATTATCCATTAGATTAATAATCCTAAACCAAAATATTAAAACAAATATAGAATAATTGAGCCCACGAATTAATAATCTCAATCTCATACTCTAATCCACCCAATCAAATATATACCCTTAAAAAATAAGAATGTTATTCATAATTTTATATTAGATACTTAAAAAATAAGAAGCGGACATAGAGATCTGTCATCAGCCTGAGACGTAGCCACGTGATTTGTTAGGGTCATTTCTAGACGTTCTTATCTATTTGTCAGACTATTCGTCATTCAACAATCAATAGTTTGTTAGGTGATTTTCAATGTTTTATTAAATTTAAATTTAGTAAAAAATGTATTAAAACTCAACTTTAATCATTTTATTAAATCAAAATCAAATAAATGAAGAGTTAATTTTTCATTAAATCAATAGGGTTTTATCATTTTATTAAATTTTATAGGTTCTGTTAACTTGGTTTTGGATCACCCTTGTTTGGGAATTATCTATTTTAATTAATTTTTTAATTTTTATAAAAAGGTCATGCTTATGTTAAAAAAAAATTATTAAATATATTAAATAAAATTTTTGATAGTAATTTATTTTAGGTATTTAACATTTTGATATTTTAAGCATGATGTTATCCTAATTAGACGTTTGATTAATCCATAATAACAGACAAAGCACATGGGCCCAATCTCATCACTAGCAATCAACGTCTCAGATGACATCCTCTACTCATCCTCCCTCGACAAAACGGTCAAAGTCTGGCGAATCTCCGATCACAAATGCACCGAAACCATCAACGCCCACTCCGACCCCATCAACGCCATCGCCGTCGCCGACGATGGCGTCCTCTACACCGCCTCCGACGACGCCACCGTCAAAGTCTGGCGCCGCAACTTCTGCTCCGGCCACCGCCCCCACTCCCTCACCCTCACTCTCCCAGCCAAATCCTCCCCCGTCAAAACCCTAACCCTAGCCTCCGACGGCGCCGTCGTCTACGGCGGCTGCACCGACGGCTACATCCACTTCTGGCTCAAGGGCTGGTTCTCCGGCCAGTTACAGTACGGCGGCGCTCTCCAAGGCCACACCCATGCGGTCATGTGTTTGGCTAATGTGGGTCGGTTTGTGGTTAGCGGGTCGGCTGACTCGACGGGTCGGGTCTGGGTTAGGGAACAAGATGGGCAACATTGTTGTGTTGCTGTGCTTCAGGGTCATAGGGGCCCGATCAGGTGCGTCGCGGCGTTTCCGGCTAAAGTGGCTGCGGCGGAGGAGGGGGAGGAGGGGTGTACGGTTTGTACCGGGAGTCTCGACGGAGTGTTGAAGGTGTGGCGGGTCACGGATGACCCGGCGGGTCGGAGTTCGATGCAGAAGACTAGTGAGTATTTTGACTTGAGTTGAGGGTTTTGGCCGTTGACTTTAACCATGGTTTTTTTTTTTGGTTTTTTGGAGGTGCAAGTGTACAGTTTTGAATTTGGGAAAAATTATTCAAGTGTTGATGGGTTGATGTTGCAAGCAGATCTGGTCATTAGTTTGTGATACAAATGAATGGCGAGGATTGCCGTAATCTACTTGTGATGAATACTGTAATAATTGCTCCTTCGATTGTTAGATACAAGTTTAGAAAAAGTTAATTACAATTGTAAAATGAATCAGATACATCGAGTTTGCTTGTGTTCGGTTTATTTGAAATTGATTTGTTAGGTAAATAAATTAAGTTCAAAAGTATTTTCGTTTGGGAAGCTATGGTTTGGATTTTTTTGGCTATTTTAGTCACAAAAAACAAAATAGGCTAACAAAACATCACATCCAACCCATAATCGTTACATTCTTCTCTCATAAAAAAACTCAAAAAAATCAAAAAGTTAAAAAGTCCTTCCCAAACCAAGCTTTTAAACCCAGGCTAAAAAAGCCAGAAAGTTAAAAAGCCAACCCACTTCCCAAACGGAGGCTTAAAATTTGTGGAGTTTTCAAATTGAGTATGAACAATTTACAATTTTGCTCAATAAATTATATACTCTTTTCGTTCCATTTTATTGGTTCACTATTCTATTTTGAGATGTCTCAAAATAATAGTCTTATTTGAAAAATTAATTAATATATATATATATATATATATATTTGATTTTTTAAAAGTACTTTTTTGAGTAATTATAAATATATTAAAATTTTGAAAAGATAGAGATGTTGGTAAAAGAATATTTTGAAATTTAAATTTAAATGTAATGATTGGATGGCTCCTTAAAAAGTTGTAATCTTCAAAAGGGACTATCAAATTAGGATAGAGGGAATATATTGTAAAAAGTAGACTTGTGTTAGCTCATTTGAAATCGAATTGTTGCTAATTTCAAATATATTTTTTAGCTCATGCAATTTTAAAGCTAAGGGGTTATTTGGGATGTTCTCAATAAGTGTACTTTTTAACTTTTTAGATAAAAAAGTAGAGGGAAAAAAAATAGTTATTTAAGATAATTTTTTAACTTTTTAGGAAAAAATGTGTGTTAAAATATTATATAAAATAACAAAATTATCATATTACCCCTAATATCTCATTATGCATACTAACAGTGATTGGGACTTATAGTTGGTATGATGGGCAGCATACTTCGGACGATGTATAGGAGAAGCTTGCCTGCAATTTGAGATTGAACTGGACGGTACTGTTCGACCCGTTGAGGCCCACCACAGGTCCTGTTTTGATAATCGGAACCGTTCAATGTATAGAACTCGTCAAGTATTATATGCTTGTAAAAAATCACGTTGATCGGATATCAATAGCTATCTCATCAGATTAGTTTTTTGTCAATCGTTAATTTGTTCATCGGCTATTTTTGTTATACGAAACCGATTTGATCATGTAGTTATGGATATCTAATCAATGTGATTTTTTAAAAAATATAGTATTTGACGGTTTCTACACATTAACGATTTAGATTATCAAAATAGGACTCCTGATGGCTCTCACAGGCTGAACAACATCATCCTATGTAAATTTTTTGTGCACCTGCTTGTGTAATTTGTACCATCACTTCAGCCAAAAATTGGCTTGTACTTTTTTTTGTGTAAATTTATTTTTTTATATTTTTTTCGTGAATAATGATAATTTTTTAATTTTTTTAATAACTTTTTTTTTTATTTTTTGTCTTTTTTAGAAGATGTCAAACTAGCCCTAAATTTGAACAGTTTGATATTTACTTGATTGACTTCTTTACTTTAGATTTGATGCAGAGTAAAAAACAGGAATTGAGGTCGCTGCTGTGCCTTTGGCACAGTAGTGACTATTGTGCCTCATTTTGTAGTGCGTTATGGATTTATTTTTATAATCTGAACCGTTCATGTTGTAAGGTTTGTTGAGTACTTTATACCTACCAAAAATCATATTAATCGGATATCAATAACTATATGATTGATAACCAAAAAAATAAACAAGAAATTTTTCTTTTGAAAAATAGTATAAAAATATGCAATTCGATCATATAGTTATTGATATCTGATTAATATGATTTTTTGGCAAGTTTGAAGTACTCAACAAATCTTACAAAATGAACGGTTCAGATCATAAAAATAAGCCCATAATGCATTTCAAAATGAGGCACAACAGTCACTGCTGTGCCTTTGACCCCAAGTCAACAATTAGTTAAAATGATCCCAAGGAAGCAACATTCTATTAAAAGTCATTTGCATCAAAACCAATACATATATATCGGTACCCATTATTTAAAATCATGCTTGCATGATCTTGATTAATTCATCATCATATCATGGAAGATCGGATGTGAAATTTATGAAAAAAATGATTTAGTACTCCCAAATCTACAACACTAGATTAATAATGAAAATGAAACCACTTAATTGGCCTGAAAAGGAACAGGTTGAGCTATGAAAGAAGCATGATTCTCTCCAGCTAAGATCACAACCTTGCTCTCCGGAACCGTGACCCGACACTGATGTGCCCGTGCCCACTCTCGATTCCAAGGCTGCATCTCCATCACCACCCTGCCACCGCCATTATCTGAACTTGGTTCTGGTTGCTCGTGGCGCTTATCCAATAACCGATGAATGGTGTAACAAAGTACGCGTAAGCCGATAACAATGCCAATGATGATGAGAGCTGATATGATGTAGGACGTGGCGGAGGGGTGTCTGCAGCCGAACAAGGCGAGTCCAATACACACCATGGTTGTTGAGCAGCATGGTGAGAGAGGTTTTGGGTGGTGGTTGGGTGAGGAAGAAGGGTACAGTCATCTGGGTTGGGTTCTTTGCTTCTTGTGATAATAGAGAAAAGGTTTGTTGGTGCTATTCTTGCCTTGAGATGAGAGAGTGCTATTTTGGTCACTTTTGTGTCTCATGCATGGAATATGTTGATGCCATAAATAATATATATATATAAATAAATAAATAAAGAGTATTGGATTGATGGCAATCTGAAAGGAAAAAAATAGGACGACTGTCTTCAAAGCTAGATTGAAGAATTACTCAATATTTTGAGGAGGCCAATTGAGACAAAATGTAATTAAGGGGTAAATTGAAACTGTAATATAGTTGAGGGACCAACAATGTAATTTAGACCTTATTTATTTTTTTAATACAACAATTTATGTGTCAACTTATAGGAATTAATTATTATATATATATATATATATTTTTTTTTTTTCCAAAGGAGTTGGAATTTACATATAAGAATTAATTATTTGATGTTTTGAGATAGTGTGATCATTCAATAATAAAAAATTATGTATTTATATGGCCAAAAACAAAAATTTTAAATATATCTATATAATAAAGTAGGATGATTTTTGAATTTATCCTACACACATTTGTCCTATTAGGACATTTGGACGGCTCAAATCTATTCAAACTATAAAATAACGATTGAGATATATTTTTCAAAAAATATTTTACATGTATATTTTTTTATTTTCCCGTTTCTCTCTCTTACTTTTTTTTTCTCACCCATCCTTCCATGATCCCATTTTCCTCTCTCTTTTCTTTTTATTTTTTTATTTTCTCTCATTTTTATTTTTCTCTCTATTTGTTTATTTTTTTTATTTTCTCATTTTTGTTCACTTATTTTTATTCATATTATATGGAAAAATTTGCAACCCCAGAATTAAAAGCTAGATTTTGCTGTGTAGTGGAGATTAAATTAATGAATTTTATAGTCCACAAATTAAATGAATTTAAACAATTAATTATTATTTTTAAATATATTGAATAGTTGATAGACTTTATAAATTTAGACCTCATATAAATCTTCAATATCTATATAATAAAGCAGGACGATTTTTGAATCTTCAACATATTTTTGTCTTATTAGAACATTTATATTGCTCAGATCTATTCAAATTATAAAATAATGACAGATATATTTTCTCAAAAAATATTCTACATATACATTTTTTACTTTCTCGTTTCTCTCTCTCTTACTTTTTCATTTTCTCACCCATACTTTCATAATCCCATGATCCCACATTCATCTCTCTTTTCTTTTTATTTTCTCTTTTTTGTTCAATATATTTTACACATATTTTCATACAATGTTTGTATACCCGTAATACACTAGGAGATTACGGGCATCTATATAATTTTCATATAATTATATAAGCAAAAGAATTATTGTATATATGCCCGTAAAAATTGTATGTATATCAGGCACATCTATCTATCTAACTATATATTATATAAGCAAAAGTGAGTTTTCCTAAGAAGTTTTGTGAGAATTCCAAAATTTTATAATAAATTTGTGATTTTATCAAATTAAAAAATAAATTTAAATAGTGTTGGGATTACAATTATATTCTAATCATAATATTATTTACACCGTGCCATCAAGTACGGGCGTACGCTAGTATATATATAAATTATAAACCACAAAAAATTACAAAATATTTAGAATTTGTTTCTAAATAATATTCAAAAACTAGTTTTAGTGAAAAAATAAAAATATATATATTTGATTCTCTATTTTTTGGACCATTGTAGAATAATTTGGCAATAGATGCTCTTCTTCTGGCAATAGCAATATCGCGTGAGCCAAATATGGTCCGCACTTGCGCCTCAATATGACCATGAGGAAGGTGAAGCAGCAAATGGACCAAGCTCACCCAACCTTTAGTCCTACAACATTTCAGGGTGTCGCCTGGATTATTAATATACAAGACCTCTGTGTTTGTGGTTAGTCCTAGTGTTGAGCTGTCGGGTTACCGTGGTGGGTTAAGACACTACAAGAATTTACACTTTTAGCGATCATTTTTTACAATCAATATAAAAGTTGATAGTTAAAAGTTACCTTTGACGGCTAAATATTAATTAGTCACGAATGATCATTATTTTTGACGACCAAATATGAGTTGGTCGCAGAAGATCATATTTTGGCGACCAAAAAATGAGTTGGTCGCAGAAAGTGGTATGCGTTTGGTGACCAACTACAAATTTAGTCACGGAAGATTAAAAATAAGTTGGTTGTGGAATTAGCGACTAAAATTTTAGTCGCCAAAAACTTATTTTCTCCGACCAAAAATATTTTAGTTGTCGTATATTGAGTTTTGGCTACTAAAACAATTTAGTCGCCGAATGGAAAATAAAAAATTATTTTTTTCTTTGGCGACCAAAAATTTGGTCACCAAAAACTTATTTTCAGCAACAAAAAAAAAATAGTCGCCAAATTAGTACTTTTAGTGACTAATATTTTAGTCGCTGTTGATTGAGATTTGGTGACTAAAAAAGTTTGTCGGCGAAGGTACCTTTTCTACGACTAATCTGGTCTTTTGGTCGCCAAAAGTTTGAGAGGGAAATTTGAAACGTGGAGGCGAGAATTGAAATATTTTAGCGACAAAAAAATTTGGTCGCCGATTGTAAAACGATGTCGTTTTGTACTAGAAAAACAAAACAAAAAATTAAAAAAAAAAAAAAAACCCCTACAACAAAAAGCAGTTTTGGCGACCAAAAATTTAAATTTCGTCACTGAAAATAAGACAATTGGCGACTAAAATTGAATTAGTTGCCAAAAGTGAAGACTTTTCGCGACTAAAACAGTTTAGTAGCCAAATGTGTACTTATTGGCGACTAAAAATCAGATTAGTCGTTGATTACATGGGTTTTAGCGACTAAAACAATTTTAGTAGCCAAAGGTGAAGGTTTTTGGCAACTAAAAAAGATTAGTAGCCAAAAGTATAGGCTTTGGTGACTAAAAAATGGTTTGGTCGCCGATTGTAGGTGTTTTACCGACAAAAAAAATGTTGTAGCCAAATGTAAAAGTTTTTGGCTACTAAAAAATTTTTAGTAGCTAAAAGTGGACAATTGGTGACTAAAATTGAGTTTAGTCGGCAAAAGTGGCGGTTTTGCCGACTAAAAATCAGTTTAGTCGCCGAAAGTGGTTATTTTTAGACGAAAATCAATTTTTTTAGCGATTAAAGTATTGGTAGTAGCCAAAACTAAGGTTTTTGGCCACTAAAAAAAACTTTAGTCGCCAAAAGTGGCTCTCTTTTTTTTTAATAATTAATTTATTTTTTACATAAATTAATATTGAATAAAAATAATTATATATATATATATATATATAGTTTTAAATTAATACGGGTCAATATACTATATAAATAATATATATTGCATATATATTCATGTGATCTTGTGGTGGCATAGTGGAGGGAGTGTGTTGGTAAAGGTCTACAAAGTAGAAGGTCCGCGGTTCGAATCACAGAAAAAGCAAAAAAGTTGGTAAATTTTTTTTTTCACGGAAGCACCTTTGGCGACTAAAATTATTAGTTGCCAAAAGTCTTTATTTTGGCGACTAAATGGATTAGTCGGCGATTTAGTGAGTATTGGCGACTAAAGGATTGGTCGCTAAATGTATGATTTTGAAAAGTGTAAATCACTATTGGCGACTAAAATGTTGGTCGCGATAGAGCTGCTTTTTGGCGACTAAAAAAGTTTTAGTCGCCAATATCTCTGCCGACCATCTATATGCGACAAAACCAACGACTAAAAAAATTAGTCGGGAAAAGTAAAAAGTCGACTTTTGGCGACCAAAAATTTAATCGCTAAAGGTACTTTTTCTTGTAGTGCCCGCTCACTACCAGAAATTAGTCTTTTAGAGACTAATATTTAGGAACTAATTAGATTTAGTCCCTAAAAATAATCTTTTAGAGACAAATCTGAACTTATGATAATTTACTTATAAAAATACAAAAATGACTATTGCTATGTTCCTGTTATGCTGTGTAACTTTTTGAGACCAATAATTTTGGTTGTCAATACATATTATTGGCATTTTAGGGACCAAATAATGAAAGATTACAAAACCTCAGCTGATGCAAATACACGCTATTTGATTGCCTGTTCACTTTTAGCAAAACACGATGCGTAAAAACTTCTCTCCCTATATATCAAGCTCCATTGCAAGCTTCATTGTATGTCTTCGATATATCCATCTCGAGCTCCATCGCAATTTTCCATTGACTTCTATTTGATTTACTTAACAATTTGTGATTTGGTGTTTTTTAGGGTTTTAATCGTTGAGCAAGATCAAGAAACCAGAGTGAACAGAGCTATATAGGTACTCGATTTCGTATATATATATATATATTGTTGTACATGCATATGCATACTAGATTTGTACTTTTGATTTTGGGACCAATTTAAAATTCAGTTGTATACTAGGGTTTGAGTTGGGACCAATTTAAAATTCAGGGTTTTAAATTGAAAGAATTAAAAACCTAGGGTTTAGTTCGTTACCAAGGTCGAATGCTGGTTTTTCCCTCCTAATATTTATCATCATTGATTATTGTTCACTAGATTATTGATTTGGTATGTGGTTGCTTTAATTACTTGCTAAGTAGTGTTGGAATAGAGAAGGCTACAGCTTGCTATCATGCTTCCATTCAGGTATGCTTTATAGGCATTTTATGAATAATAATGCAGTACAATTGGCATTGTGTGTTGTTGTTCTACTGATTTGTTGACTGAAACTTCTGTTAGTTTTTAGTAGGTGAATGATTGTTATTGTTCACATTGGTCAACATGTAATACTCTAGTCAATCAATAGGCATTTAAGTTGCAATTGTTGTAATCCATGTGCTTTTCTTTTTTTCTTCCTTTTTTTGCCTTTTTTCTTTTTCCATTTTTTTGGTAGTGGTATTGCCATATTGTTGTAATTGTCTTAAGTGTTGGTGTATGTGTATGCAAATATCATGTTGTTCTTTGGTTGCAACATGCCTACAAACTCTTTAATGGTATGTATGTCTGATTTTTTTTGAAGAAAGTGATATGTGGTTAGGACTCAAAAACACTTTTAAGTGAATGGAAATGAAAATGCATATTAATTCTTGGTTTTTTACATAGACTAGAATTATTTCAGACTTTTGTTAAATATAGTAAACAACAAATTGTCTTTTATAGTTCATCTAATGACTTGTGATTTTTTTTTTTTTTTTAATCGAGCGAATTTAATCCAATATTTGTTTAAGGAAGTGGTTAGGCTGAACCTACTTACGTTTCCTTAGGGAAGATGGGGGCATGAAGTGTTGGTCTTAGTCAAAACTTGTATTCCTTCCTGGGATCCTTCACTTGGAAGGTGGCACTTCATAATGTTCTAATGGTTGCCCATTACCTGAAAAGCTATCATGGTAACTAGCACATATTGTCTGATGAAACTTGTATCCTTCTTGAGATCCTTCATGTACCATAGGCTTATGTGTTCATTTATCTGTCCTGGGGCTGCTATCCATTTGGTTTTGAAGGCATGCCTAGAAGAGTTTTAGATGCATAGATTATTGTTATTCTCTTTCTATCTGGCTTTATTTGACTATAACCTTTTGAAAAATTTAAAATTTAATAAAAATTCAATTTATTTGGACCTTATTTTGCAAAATATGGTTGAACAGAAGTATATTGTTGAGTGTCATTATCTGTTTAGTAACTTATTGGCAGTGTTGTGTTCTTTTGATATGCAGGAATTGATTGTGATTGATGATCTTCTGTCTGCTTTGGTTGGAATAGAAGGACGATACACTTCAATCAAAAGAGTCTGAGGGAAGGATGCTAATTTTGCCTTCCAGCTTGATGCATCTATGGATTTAGCACTTCAGGTTAGAATGCTTTCTTTGTGGTCTTCAGATCTGGTGGTTTAAGTAATGATTTTTTGTACTTTTAAAAAAAAAATTAATTTTATAGTCAATTAGATATCTGCCCTGAACTTCTTGTACTGGTTCTTTGGACTCATCTGTTTACTTTTATACACTCTCTTGCTTTGTTAAATATCCTTTTTGTAGTTCTTATTTTTTGAGTACGTATGCTTAGCAGAGAAATTAGATGAGTCAGACAAGTTTGCATAACCAATCTTATGAACATGTAACTTCATATTGAACTTCACTTTCCCTGAATGCAATTGATTCGTGCAAAAGGAGAATTAAAGAAGTATTGGCCCAAAGCATCAATTCCACTTTGATGAGGTTTTAGAGTTCAATTTGTTGTGATACGATGATTAATGGTGAATTTCGAGTACTTAAAAGTTAAAAACCACGATCATAGATTTCAAGCTACAAAAAAAGTGCGTGGAGAATCTGATTAGGCACCTAATTGAGTATTTCAAAACTCTAAATGTTCTTATGATGATTAATGGTGAATTTCAAGTACTTAAAAACTGTGATCATAGATTTCAATCTACAAAAAAGTGCGTGGAGAATCTGATCAAGCACCTAATTGAGCATCTCAAAACTCTAAATGTGCTCCGGAATAGTAGTTTCATTAATCTCCAGGATAGAAAAATGGTTGCAAGTTTGACAACATGATTTAATTGCTGAAATGCAGCTTGCTGGGGGGAATTCTGCTCTTGCGCTTGCAATGACTGTAATATCTAATCTGCTGGGAATCTTGATTGTAAGTTGCAACAGCTATTCATTAAAACATCGGATTATGTTTACATTCTTATTTTAAATGGAATTCAATGATTGTTTGATGATTTAGTGAAGTTACAAGAAAGAAAATTTGTTAATTATTGTTCCTAAGCTTTTTTTTTTTTTAAATGTTATTGTTCCTTAATTGTGGTTGGGTTGAATGAATTTTGTTTGATATTGGATTGAATGTTTATAAACAAAAATTGATTGTTCTAAAGAAAAAAAAGAAAAAAAAGAAAGAAAGAGATTTGGCGACTAAAAAATTGGTCGGCAAATTCTACACTTATGCGACTAAAATCATTGGTCGGCAATTCCTTACCTTTTGGTGACTAAATTGTTAGTCGTCGATTCCTTGACTTTTGGCGACTAATCTGTTTGGTCATGGAATGTGACAATTGGCGACAAAGATATTTGGTTGGAAAAATATCACTTTTCGTGACCAAAGTGTTTTACCGGTAGAATGGATTAGTCGCAGTAATGATATATTTAGCGACCAAAAATTTAGTCGGCAAAGCCAACTTTTCCCGACCAACAAAAATTTTGGTCGCGAATTACTTTTGCCGACCCTCAATTGGCGACCAAAGTAGCGACCAAAAAAATTGGTCGTGGATAACTTTTGCCGACTAAAATTGAGCTTTTAACGACCAAATTTTTGGTCGGCAAAGGTGTTATTTGTTGTAGTGAGAGAACTTCAATGATTAGTTGTAAGTTGTATGGCAATAATGATTTATATATGAACAATTCTTCTTGTAACTGTTCGACTTAAAATTTTTGATTTTGAGGAAGCCAGGAAGTCAGTTTCTTCGGAACTCTTGAATGTTTATAAAAAGACATCAATTTAGGAATTTGGGTGGAATTCTAAAACTTACAACAGGAAAACCAACCACAGTTTCAATTTCATTCCATTTCCACCTCTAGGCTCAAAAAGTATTCAATATTTCATAACCTGTTATTTGTCATTTTGGAATTAAATGTGATTATATATCTCATTCATAAAAAATAAAAATAAAAATAAAAAAACATGTTTCAATCTATAAAGAGGTTTTCAGACCTTATTGATGGTGTGGTAGTTGAAGAATGGTGTGAAGAGTAACCTCAGTTTTTTTTGCTTGTTTCCATTTTGTTTGGCTGATATTGTCTCATGGATCTCCACTCCATCAATTTCCCAATAACCCAGCATGCCATCACCAGCATCATTCTTAACAACAGAATCTTAAATAGGTTTTACTTTTCTTACTTTGCGCTGAATTTCTGTTGAATGTGCAGCGCTTCAAATTCAATCCTTGCTGTTGTTCTTCTTGTTATTTTTTCTTCTTCTTTTTGATGGTTTGACTATCCGTGTGTGTGTGTTGCTATGCCGATAGGAAATCCCTTAATGCATTTCATCGAAGGAAAAAGGTAGAACTTTAATCATGAAATCTCGATGAGATTAAAATTTAATGAGTACACACACATATATAGACTCTCTTGACATTAACTTTCTTGAATTCCTCTCTCTGGGGATCTACATGGAAAAAAATTGAAGAGGAGATGGGAGTTAAAATCGTATTTCCATCATCAAAGAAGCAGGATGCTATCAGTATGCCACTTCTTCTTTATAAGTTATTTTTCACTTCTTCTTGACCACTACCAAATATATATGTAATACTGTGGCATTTAAATTTAAAGTCAGCCTAAAAGCCACATGAACATGTATAATGAAAACTCACATAAATTGAAGTCTTCGCCTATTGTTGTTTTCCTCCTAGAAGTGGTTGGCTTGCATCTTCTTCTCTACCCAGGAAGGCGATAACACTGGACTCATTCGACACTCCATAACCTCCGACTGTTGACTATTTGATACTGAGTTTTCCTGGTTCACCTTCTCGGAAGGATAAACTTTAACTCTCCACACCTTGAAGGTTTGATCCAAGCTTGCGCTATACACTAACAACCCCATTACAGTTTCCTCTGTTTCCAAGGAAGCTGCTAAGCACCTCACTGGCCCATGATGGCCATCTATAACTGCAAGACATGAATGGAATGTATTCCCTTCCTCTCTCCTCCATACCCTTATAGTTGCATCCTCAGAACCGCTGAGGACTAAGTCTTCTATGGCTACTAAGCAAAGAACAGAGAAATGGTGACCTTGTAAAAATCCTCCATGGTTGAATCTACCGGATGTCTTCTCCTTCTCCCAGAAGTTTATGAGCCCATCTGAGGAGCCAGAGTAGAGGAAACAATCACTTAATGAATAGCTTAATGCCAAGGCATTAACTGGTGAGAGTTGGAACTTTAGTGTCATAGTGAGAATATGTGAGCTTTCTCCAAAAACCCTTCTCCATATCTTGACCGTGCCATCGGAGGAGCAAGTAAAGACACACCCATCTTGTTGGTTGATCACGATTGCATTAACAAGACCTTCATGAGCCAAAAACAAATCAACACATCGCCTCTCTGAAACTTTCCAAGCTCTGACTGTTTTATCCCATGAACCTGTATATAATATCTTTTCAACATGGTTGTAGGCGATACAAGAGATGTAGTCTTTGTGCTGATTAGTATTCTTCCTCGGATACAAGAAGAACTTGCTTCTTGTTGGTAGGGTAGTGATCTTCTTTGGCCTGAAATTCTCCTTCAAAGACACATCCCACACTCGTATTTTGCGGTCACCATGTGTGGTAAAGAGAAGTTTTCCATATGCCAAGATGGCTCGGACTTCACCAGCATTAGTCTTGATATAACCCATTTCAGTGCAATCTGGTTGCTTCCATGCATGGATTCTACTACTTTCCGAGCCAGTGAAGATATAATCTTTGGAGATTGTGATGGAGAAGATGTTACCTTCGTGGCGATGTAGCGAGGCTAAGCAATGGTAGAGAAGAGAAGGAGTAGGAGATGTACGAATAGGGGATAGCGTCCATGGTGTCTCAGGACTTGTAGGCCATAGTGGAAACGATGTTGCAGATGCAGAAGATGTTCTTGCAGAAGCGAAGTGGGAATCCGATTCGTGATCACCAAAGGAGAGTCTCCTCGGTAAATTTATGTTCTTCCTTTCATCATCCATGAAGCTCCAAGGAGTTTCTTTTCCATACAACTCCATGGGTGATGAATTGTGAGTGTTAGAGATGGTGGCTGAGCTGTAGAGATTGAATGAATGTTGACATTGTTTTAGATGTGTTTTGATTTTTGTAGATGGGGCTGGCTAAGGGGACCAGTTTGTGCTCTGAAGGCATTAAAAGGCTTGCCATCAATGTTGTGTTTGGTTGAGAAATTTAGAGAGAAATTTCAAAAAGAAAAGAAAAAAAGTACGTGAAACTAGGTAAAATGTAAGTATATTTTATTTACATATCATTTATCTTTTTCATTTTCTTTTTCAAATCTCTCTTTAAATCTTTCAACTAAACCTAACATATCAGCCAAAGAAAGGTACCATGATTTTGTCTACGAGTGCTCTGTATAAAATGTTTCTGTATTGTTTGATAATCATAATTTAGGAATTTTGTGTCGAACCAATTACTTCATGGGATGGATTTACTATTCTCCAAATCCCTGTTTTTAACTAAACGATCATATCTTAATTCTTGTGTTTTGAGATTCTTATGGAACAAAGAATTTACTACGGGGAAGGGGATTTTGGAACAGAGGATCTATTGGCCTTACCTCACATAATTGTGTTGGAGGGCATTGCCACATTTTAAACCAAATAACCAAAACAACAAAACAGTTGACCTACTGACTTAAATACTCTGACCGTTTTTGGTTAAATGACAGCAACGACCTCTGTATAGCTTGCTGTAAACTGCAGCTGCAGTAGGTTGGGGACTCATTATGAACAATTCACATGCATATTTGTTTAGACGGCCGGAAATTTTAATCTATCAAACTGTTAGTCCTGAGATAAATTGGGTGTGTTTGGTTTGGTTTTGGGAGATAAATTTTTTTAAAAAAATCTTGAAGAAAGAGTTTAGAATTTTTTTTTATTTGTTTGATTGTATATTTTGGAAATAATTTTGGAGTGGGAGTTTGGGATGATTTGATATTTTTGTTGTAGTTAAATAGATGTGTGTGAGAGAAAAAATGATTGAGGAGGAGAGAGAGGAGAGAGGAGAGAGAAAAATATTTAATTGATGTGTAGGAGATAGAAAGTGATTTTATAATTTTTTTTTTCTAAAATTACTAAACCAAACAAAATTTTAGAAAATTTTATCCAAGATTTGTTAAATAAAAAACAAACCAAACAAGGCCATTGTCCATGCACTATTTGGTTGGACTGGATTTGTATCCTATGTTTGTTTAGTCATGAGATTAGATGTCTGGATTAGATTATTCTATTGAATCATAAATTTGTTTAGGATATTATAAAAAAGGATAAATACTCAAAAGGTTATTTTGCCCTTTTGAATTTTTTACTAAATAATAGGAATATCAAATTTGAATTATAAATTTTATTTAATTTTTTAACAAGAACTTTTAGTAAAAAAATTAAATAAATAGAATATTAATAAAAATTACATAAATTTATTTTAATTTGTAGTTAAGATTTTTAAATTTTATTTTATTTTTCTAAGTATAATTAATACCATATGATTATTAAAATAAATAATTTAATAAAGTATAAATAATTTAATAAATAAAATTTATTAAGTATAATTTATTAATAATTTGATAAATAAATTTACTAAGTATAAATAATTTAATAAATAAATTGGGAAGGGCTTTTTGACTTTTTAGCTTTTTTGACTTTTTTTGTAAGAGAAGAGTGTAATGATTATGGGTTGGATGTGATGTTTTATTTTTTGTGGCTAAAATAGCCTATTTTGTTTTTTTTGGCTAAAATAGCTAAAAAAATCCAATCTATCTCTTCCCAAACGGAGCCTATATCTGCAGTGCAAGCACTGGAAGGGTGAAGGCTGCAGGCTGGACTGATAAAAGCATACTGGTATTGGAAAGGTTTATTGGGTGATTTTAAAAATGACAGCAAGAGGAGTAGCACCCTTATGATCTAGGACCTTCACGTCATTTTTTTTTTTTGGTCTCATTCAATAGCATAGTTCTTAATTAGGAAGTACGGATATTTCTAAAAAGGAAGAGGTGTGTTCAATATCGTGTTCAATATCGACACGGCATGATATAATATTGATTGGTTATTTTTTAACACTTGAACACATAAAATAAGTTATAAGTTAGAATAAAATAACTTAAAATCTAATGATAATATAAAAATAATAATTTTTTTACATATTCTCCTCCTTTAGTGTTTAAAAATTATTACTTTTAACTTGAATATTTATATATATGATATATAATAATAATTAATCTTTATGTATGATATAATATTAAATATTTTACACGTGTCTTATGTGTCATGTTTTATATATTTTAAAATTTTTTGTGTCTTCGTGCCCATGTCAGTGTTTCTTAATTTTTTTTATTTTTATTTTTATTTTTTTGAGTGTATGCATGTATGGGGCAACATGGGTTGTTTGAGATGTTTTAAATAAGTGTACTTTTTGAATTTTTATAAAAAGATGTGTAGAAAAATAGAGAGGAAATGTTGATTGATGGGACCTAAAAAAGATAAAAAGCGTAGACTTATTTAGAGATTGTTTGGGATATTCTAAATAAGTGCACTTTTTAACTTTTTATAAAAAGATGTGTAAAAAAATAGAGAGAAAATATTAATTGATATGACTCAAAAAAAATAAAAAAAATAAAAAAATAGACTAAATTAGTATATGCCAAACCACCGCTAAAGAGCCATCCTACCTCTGTTATCCTCGTAATAAAGAACTGTTTTTGTTTTTTTTTTTTTGTTTTTTTTTTGTTACAGGAAAATCCTCCCACTCTCCCGCAGGTCCAAGGCAGCGCCCCTTGAGGAGATCATCAGGGTGTCCTGTTGTCCGTTCCGAGTAAGAGACTATAACCTGGAAGCTTGTCCCGACCTCCCAAGGTGTCCTGTTGTCCGTTCCGAGGAAGAGACTATAACCTGGAAGCTTGTCCCGACCTCCCAAGGCAAGCTCCGTTTAAGTCAAGACTCGCACAGCGGGGGAGAATTAAACCCACACCAAGTAGCTGATAAGGCGTCCTTGAGGTCAACCTCCTAACCAACTGTGCTACGCTCAGGAGATTGGCCCAGAGGGGAGTTGAACCCAGGACCTAGAGACTTAAACCCCGGGCCCTTACCACCTTGTCACAGTTAATTTGCCTCCAAATGGTTCTCCTAAAATCTGTCCTTTCAAGAAAAGTCTCTTTCTGATATTCTGTTTGTTTGTTTGTTTGTTTGTTTGTTTGTTTATTTATTATTATTATTATGTTGAGAAGTGAGATATTATTAACTACTTGAACAATATAGTTTATGAAAATGATATTTGAAATATTGGGAAGACTTGAATCGAAGTCTCAAGTGTCAAGTGTGACTTTCATTCACCTTTACCATTGGGAATCAGCGCCGATCCTGAGTTTTAGGGGTTAAGGTGAATTTTGAAAATGAGATTCCTTTTTATATTTAAAAAAAAAAAAAATTATGGATAAAGTGGTAAGTTATAATTTTTTTATTTGTTTGTAATCATAAAAAAAATTTATTTACACATATAATCATTAAAATTATAAATAAAATAATTTAATGAAACAAAATTAAGGCAAAAAAATTAAGAATAAATTATTCAATTAAAACAAATAAAGACTTAGGCAAAAAAATTGAGACAAAATTATTTATTCCACTAAAATCTAGTAGATAAAGAACGTAAAAAAAATAAAAATTAGGGCCCATATATTATATGTATTATTCTTCTTGAGCCCAAACACTTTTTTTTTTTGTGATATATATTTTCATTTTAATAAATATGGGTCAAACTACACTTATAAATAAATATGAGTTAAACCATGCATAGACCCAATAAAATATTTTGAGACCCTTTAAATTGATCTTAAAAAAAATATATTTAGCCTATAACATTTTACCAAATTTGAGGCTCTATTTTTTGGCCAAAATTTTGAGGCCTAGGGCACAGGCCATGGGCCAGGGCCGGCCTGGGGGGAACTAGTGGAACTTGATGCCTTTATATGAAGAGAATTTTTGTAATTTGAATCATACCATATTTTGATATACAAATATTTTGCGTAGAGTTGAATTTTTTATTGTTATTGATTTTTTTTTATTATTCAGTTATGATGCTGTGAAAACTGTTCATGTCTTGTGGTCCTTTAGACATTATCTGAGTTTTTAGTAAAAAATTAAAAATTGTTTGGTCAGTGAGAGCCGATAGAATGTGTTAGATTATTAATTGTCTAGAATGTTTAATGGCTCAGAATTGACTCCAATAATATATATCTAGTTAAACTTTTCTGAATTTTAAGAAGTTAGTTGGGCGATACAAATTTGAAAATAAAACTCAAGGTCTTAAGAGTCTCTCAAGAAGCCACTAAAATAAATTTGGAAAATGTCTCGTAGCTCAAATTTTGTGGCTCAAAAGTGGCTCAAATGGCCAAAACGACGTCGTTTTGGCTATTTTTATGTTGTTCTGTACTCAAAACGACGTCGTTTTGGCCATTTGAGTCACTTTTGAGCCACCAAATTTAAGCTACGTAGCATTGTCGAATAAATTTACTCGATACATTACATTTTGGTTGCAGAGACGGCCATGTTGTGATCAGGGTGTTGTGTTTGTTGATGCTCTTTCCATTGGGTTTGATTTGTATCTGATGTAATGTGAATTTGATTTGTATGTATTCTGTGGTGTTTTGGGAAGTTGGTAAAAAGTTGACTTTTGACTTTTTTAGTCAAAAAAGTAAACTTTTTGGATAGTGACTTGGGTAAAAAAGCTAGCTTTTTTGACTAAAAAAAGCTAAAAGCTAGCTTTTTGCTAGCTTTTTTTTTTTTTTTTTTTTTGCATGTTTGAAAGCAGAGATGGTTTTGATTTGGGTAATTTGTGGTGAGCATGGTTTGATATGTGTGGTTTATGATAATTATGTGATGAGTCTATTGGGGTTTGAGTGGAGAGGCAGAGAGTGATAGAGGGTGGTGGGCAAGGGCAATTTTAGTATTGTTGAATGTTAAATTAACGACATCAGCAAAATATGTCAGTTAAGTAATAGTTGACTAACATATGGGTACATCTGCTTTACAAAATTCTAAAGTGAGGGGTGTCAGTGTAATTTCAGAGGATAAAAATGATGCTAGTGTCATATCAGAAGAACAAGAGTGTCAGTGTACCATAATTTATATACACACACAATTATAAAATAAGTAATGAATTTTAAATAGTTTTTAATTATTCGTATTCAAGTAATTCAAAATTTTATTGACCCGATTAGATTTTTCATATAACACGATCTATCATATTCATTTCTATTGGCCCCCCACTTTTACAATCCCAACTCCGTCCCTACATGTGGTCGTGTTTCAGGATCACCAAGTAACTTGTCCATTGGTTGACACTTCAAATGAAGTAAAGTGTAGATTTGG